GAAACTTCCCTTTTGCAAGGGAACACCCAAAGTGGTGATTTAGGCTCTTGAAGAGCGCAGGCAGCAGAGGGAGTGAAAAGCTCCCTGCCGCCAGGGAAGGGCTGAGATTCCTTGGAGAGATGGTGAATGCCCAAGGGAAACAGAGCAACTCATCAGAGACTTCAGCAAACGGAAGGGGGAACAGGCCAAGGGCAGGACAGCACATTCCTTCCCCATCCCTCCCTCCCTGTCTCCCCAGAACTCCACACTGTGACCAGATCCTGGGGACTCTGCAGCGAGCTAACACCTTGTGTCTGCCAGCAAAACGAGGGAGTTCCAAACAAGAACATCTCTTCATTCCATTACCAACATTCCCACTGCATACCTGTAATTGAGTTTCTCCAACCAATCCACTGGGATGGCCGAGCCACGGCGTGAGGAGAGAGAGAGAGGTGGCACCTGGAGCAGCCTGGCCGCTCCCAGGCTGCAGGAACAGCAGCAGCTGCTGCACACACGGCACCTCCCCGAGCTGAGCTCCTGCTGCTACAGCCCCTTCTGCAGGGGCCCAGCCCTGCAGAGCCTCACACACCCAGGGTTTCCCCTTGGGCAAGAATTCCACCTGCTCCCAGAGCCTGGGACGTTTGGCCTGGCGTTCTTACGCTTCCGAAGCAAGCATTCCAACGGGTCGGAGTTTTCCTGGGGCTTGGAACTGCTCTGCCTCGGGGCAAGGACTGAGCAAGGCCGAGCACAGCACGAGAGCAGCAGTTTGGGAGAAGTCCAGAACGACTCCATGGCAAGTCCGAACTGTTGGGATTCATCAGCAGTGCCAAACCCCAGGAATGATCCCAGTTTGAGCAGGACAAGCCCTGCAGCCAGAAGGAAAAGGCTCCAACGTTCCCCTAGGAGCATCTGCTGGAATGAGCAGCTGAACAGCCCGGCAGGAAACAATCTCAGCCTGGCCTCTGCCATCCACGGGAACTGGAGAGAAACCACCAGACACTGGGAACGGGATTCAACACAGCACGGAGTTGGACATCTCCTCACCCGGAACACCAACGGATCTGGGGCAGCCACGGGGCAGGGAGGGGCCCATCCATAATCAGGGCCTGCTCAAGCAGCCCTTGAGGCTGACACTGTTGCCATGGCACAAAACCACTGCTGGCTCTCAAACAGCCCCTAATTAGGGAAGCTCCCAGTCTGTTCCACAGATTCATTCCCTTTTGCCTCCAAAGACAAACAATTGAAACCCTCTGGAACTTTGTTTTCCCCTTCTTTAGGCCACACCTCAAACACCTGAACTGCCAGTCCTTGCCCAGCTCCAGCACAATGACCACTGCCCACTACCCTGGCTGATGCTCTGGATCCAGAAGTGCCCCACAGGAAATGTTGTGCTGTTACTCTGAACTTGGTTTAGACATTTTAAGGCTGGAGAAGCCAAGGATTTTCTTGCCACTCCACTGCACTTCCAAGGTGACTCGAAAACTAGAAAGATGGGCACCAGCCTGAAAAAATGACACTAATTTAGCCTAGTCACTACCTGAGTACTCAGCTCAATCTCTTCATCTTCCTCAAGAGACGAAGATGTTCAGGTCAGCAAAAGCAGCTCCCATCCACATGGGAATTAAAGGGAATTGTGGAAGTGGGAACACCACAAACCTGATTTCCAAAACCCTGATTCTGCTGCAGCACATGCCAAAGCACCAACCTGATTTTGCAGGTCACCCTTAAATACACTGAACTGCAACCAATGGCAGAATGGCTCTTGAAGCCAGTCCAAACCCCTCCGAATTTGGGGACACAGCTGGATATCCACACACCAGAGCAGGACATAACCACCTGAATGCCCAAAAAACATTCAAATGCTTCAGAAAGTTCTGCTGCACTTCAAGGCTAAAATCTGCTGAAAGCCTGGGCTTGGATCCCTAAGGAAAACACTGCTAATCCTGGGATGAGGCTCTAGCAGCCGTGTGCCACAGGCCTCCACAGGAACCATCCCCTGGAAGGCTGCCAGGGACGGAGGTTGTGCAACACCCAGAAGGCTTCGGGAAGAGCTTTTCCAAACTCGTGTGGCCGAGTGCACCCAGAGGTGCAAGTGCTGAGCTACAGCCAGAGGCAGGCACGGGCTGGAGCACAGGGCAGCCTCTCCACCTGAGCTGCACTTTACCTTTCTCTTTGACCAGGTCCTTCAGCGACTGCCACTTGACGTCGAAGGGGATGTTGGTGATGAAGGCTCGGTACCTCTTGGCGGGGTTGGTGTAGGGCTCAAAGCGGTTCCCTCCCCTCTTCATCCCCTTCTCCTTCTTCTTCTCGTTCGGGGTCGGGCGCTCGCCTTCGCTGCAAGGAGAGAAGCCCTGTGAGCTGCTGGGGACAGAGCAGTGCCACCACCTCCAGCTGGGACAAAACCAGAGCTGAACCACTCAACTCCAGAGCAGTTTGGATGGGAAGGGAAAAGCCCAGACCATCCTGAAAGGAAAAAAAACAAACCATGGGAACAAAAAAGCTTCAGCCTCAGTCTTACATAATTCCCTTCACTAATCCAATTAATCTCCTTGCTCAATCAGTGCTGCTGGAGAAGATGCACCAACTTGAGGAGGAATTCAGAACACATCAGATAAAAAAGCTGAAGTTTCTACAATCTCTCTGTCCTGAGCTTTTCCCAACCTAGCACCTGTGCAGCTCTGCAAATCCCGGGTCAGAAATCCCAGCTCCATCCCTTCAGGACCATTTCAATCCCTGAACAGACACAACAGCCTGCAGGGAAAAAGGAAATTAAGAATGTAGAGACCTCTGAAGGTTTATATTTGAGGGTGTTCCCTGCTTCTATCACCCAGCAGCCAAAGCGATGGGAATTTTCCAGTCTTTCTCTCGCTGATTTTTTTTTTAAGTCTCTTTATTAATGAAATAATTAAAACTCCAAGATTAGACTTGAAATAGGACAATCCTTTTCCCACTTTAATTTCTGTTTGGTTGGTGAAGTAACACAAAATGGAGTTGTGTTAAAAGCTGCACTCTGATTTTAGTTGTTATCTCTTAAACTGGATTTCCCCAAGGCCACTGAGAATTTTGGTGTTATCCGTGTGGAAGTGAGAGCTCTGCCACGTCGAGCTGGATATTCCAAACACAACTGCACCTGCAGACACAAACAAATTCCCTGGAGGTATCCCAAGTGCAACAAGGTCAGGAAAAATAAAACCACAGCAGAAGGATCCCTTTATTTATACTTCCAAGAATGAACAGGCTCCTCATGGAGACAAACTGCTGATTCCATGTTCCCAGGAGTGGTGGGAACAGAATCCAGGGTGGGAACACCCTTCCCTGTCCCTGGGATCAGGAATGTCTCTGCCCCTGCCTGGCTCGAGCTGCACAGTCAATGAAATTGTGTCTGTCAGGATTTTATTGCTCAAAGCACAGTCTGACTGTTCTCCAATGGAAAAAAAAAAAAAAAAGGATCTTTTTCCCCTAAAGCGACACTTGGAAATCTGTTCCTGGGCTCGGGAAACACAAATCCAAGCTCGGGTCTGCAACAGGAATCGCAGCACACCAGGTTTAACCTGATTCTTATCACCCCGCCACGAAACGAGGCCAAAACCGCCCTGAGGGAGAGAAGCTCTTTCTATTCTGCGGATTTGGTACCAAAACCGGCTTTGCCAACTGTGGAATTTTCATCGAGCATCCACATGAGGAAGTGAGAAGCAGCTGAGGCTTTTTGCGCCCTTCATCCCCACGTTTACAGAGCCGGAACTGCAGCGCTGCCGATTCTGGTTTAAATTTCTCTAACGTTTTACCGGCAGCAGCCACCGGGACTGTGCAGCCCCTCCCCGGCACCACCTTAACCTCTCACCCTCGAGGTGTTTGCGCTCCTAAATCCCCTCACGCTCCAATTCCCTCCAAAAAGGAGCACGCTGGGCTCCAAAGCGTGCAGGAGGATGAGGGAGGTGCTGAGAGCAACAGAGCTGTTAAAACTTTCTGACAGCACAGAAAGTAATTAACTTACACATCCCCACGCTGGCACAGCCTGCTCCCCCCTGGGGGAACCGAAACTCCACCAGAGCTGAGCAGCGGGGATGCTGAGGGGATTCTGAGGGGATGGATGGGGGCGAGCCCAGGGCTCCCTGCCCGCCGGGACCGGGCCCGCAGCGCCGCGAGTGCCCCGGAGGCGCCTTCGGAACGGCCCCGCCCGGGATCCCGAGGCGCGCCCGGAGGGAGCAGCGGCCGCAGCGCCAGGAGAGGCCCCGCAGCGGAATCCACCTCGCCGGGACCCCTCACCGGGACCCTTCGCCGACCCCGGCCCGTCCCGCTGCCCTCAGGCCGGGCCCCGCAGCGGGCAGGCCGCACGCGGCCCCTCGGCCCCACCGGCAGCGCGGCTCCTCACGACCCCCCCTACCTCTTGGGGGGCGGCCCCCCCGCGCCGGCCGCCCCGTTGGGCGCTGGCGGAACCGCCGCTGCCGCCGCGGCCGCCGCCGGGGGCGGCTCCATTTTGCCGGGGGCGCTCTGCGAGGCCGCGGCCGCCGCCATTTCCCAGCGCGTCCTTTGTGTGGGGAGCGCGGGGCACGACGGGACGGCGCCGCCGCCCGGGCCGCCAGGGGGCGCCGCGCCGCGCATGCGCGCCGGGGGGAAGGAGCGGCGGGAAGCGCGCGGGAGCCGCCGCGCATGCGCAGTGAGGCGGCACCGCCGGTAATGGCGGCTCCGCGCGGGCGCGGTGTTGGCGGCGCCGTGCAGGAGGGGCACGTAGCACCGGGGAGTGGGGATCTGAGAATGCGCAGCGCTGCTGCCACGAGGTGCGGGCGGGGCTGGCGGCAGCGGCACCCGGGACTGCCGGCGCTGGCGGCTCAGGCCGTGGGAGGCGCGTACGGAATGGCGGCAATGGGAACGCCGCATGCGCAGTGCGGCGGTGCCGTACAGCATGGCTGCCGCGGGCTGCGCGTGCTCAGTGGAGTGAGCGGAAAAAAAACCAGCTGCAAACTCAAAATGACTCCGAGTCCTCAGTTTTTAGAAATAAAGTGACACTTTAAACGCAAACAGACTGTTTGGTGACTTTTATCTACTCGATGAATACGTGTGATGGGACATCGGGGGAGGCCGGGGCCCCATCCCGTGGTGCTGTGAGGAAGCCGCGTTTTCCCAGCCCCGGGTCGCAGCTCCGGCGTTCCCCAGCCGGAGGCGGAGCACAGCCAGGAGCCAAGAACACGCGGAACCTCTTGTGAGGCCGCGGCTCTCCGGCGGACTCTTGGCTGGGTTGTACACCCGCCGTGGGCACTTCTGTTGACAGACAGCTCGATTAGCCAATAACAGGCGAGAAACGGGGAGGCCGCGGCTCGCTGCGCCAATGAGCGGCGGAGGGGGCGGGGCCACGCCCGGAAGCGGCGCGGGGCGCGGGGGCAGCAGCGGCGGCAGCGGCGGCACCGGCGGTCGGGAGAAACCGCAGCGATGTCGGAACGGAAAGTGCTGAACGTGAGTTGGAGAGGAATCCCCGCCAAGGGGGCCGGGCTGCGCCAGGGGAGGGCTCCCCGAGGGCGCTGGGGCGGTCCCCGGTGGTTCAAGAGTCGCCCCCGGGATCAGTCCCGGCTGTGCCCGGTGCCCGCCTCGCCACCGGCCCGGAGCACCGATTGCCCGTCCCGGCCGTCCTTGGACACCTCCAGGGATGGAGGCTCCTGTCGCTGTTCCCGAGCCCCACCTGGCTGCAGCCTCCTCCCGGTGCTGTGGGGAGTGAGAAGATTTCCGGTGCTCCAGAATTCCCAAATCTGCTCTCGGTCCATAGAAATATTCCTAAATCTTCTCTTTCTCCCTAGAAATATTCCCAGAATTCCCAAACTTGCTCGTTCTCCATAGAAACATTCCCAAATCTGCTCTCTCCCCATAGAAATATTCCCAGAGTTCCCAAATCTTCTCTCTCCATAGAAATATTCCCAAATCTTCTCTCTCTCCATAGAAATATTCCCAGAATTCCCAAATCTTCTCTCCCCACAGAAATATTACCCCCCGGACTTCGATCCGGCCAAGATCCCGAAGCTGAAGCTCCCGAAGGACCGTCAGTACGTGGTGAGGCTCATGGCCCCCTTCAACATGAGGTGAGAGCAGCTCTGGAGCCATGGGGTCACTCATGGAATAATGGGGTCACTCATGGAATAATGGGGTCACTCATGGAATAATGGGGTCACTCATAGATTAATGAGATCACTCCTGGAACAGTGGGGTCACTCCTGGGATGGGTTGGGGGTCTCCAAGCCCCCCAGTGCCACGGGCAGGGACACTCCACTGGGCTGGAACACCTGGAGGCAGCCAAAGGAAGGAGGAATCTCCTTAGGGGGGCCAGATGTTGGCTCCAGATGTTGCCTGTGGTGGCTCCAGGTGCCCTTTCCGGGCAGGGGAGGGGCTGAGGGAGGGCAGGAGGTGCTGGGTGGGGGTGGTTTCCTTCCAGGACCCCACAGGAAGGGTGGAGAGAGACCAGGGACAAGGGACAGAGGGACAGGACACAGGGAATGGCATCCCACTGCCAGAGGGATTCAGTCAAAGAAAGAAACGAGAGTTTCTAGCCAGGCAAAAGCCTGGAAAAGAATCTAAATAATTCTTTATCTCTCTTGTTTTTCACACTGTTTATAGTTAAGTTCTATCACTGTGCATCAAGCACTCTGCAGCAATGCTGTGGGATGTTTTCACTTCAGGACCAATGGAGTTGGCCCTCACACAGCTCTCTATAAAGGAGCAGTGTGTTTTGAATAAATCAGAGTTTTCCTCTCACAGCCTTCTGATCAGAGTCTTCTCATTCCCGTCCTGCCTCGACAGCGACAGATGGCTGCGATTTTGGGATGGAATTCCTGCCTTGGAGGGTGGGATGGAACTCCCAGAGCAGCTGTGGCTGCCCCTGGATCCCTGGCACTGCCAAGGCCAGGCTGGAGCAGCCTGGGACAGTGAAGGTGTCCCTGCCATGGCAGGGCTGGCACTGGGTGGGATTTAAACTCCCTTCCAAGCCAAACCAATCCACAATTCCCTGATTTTGGGCTTGGTCAGCCCCTAAATTTCCAGCAGCAAAACCAACCTGACACAGAAGAAGCCACCTGGGCTGCTGCTGGTGCTCATTCCCTGTTTTTCTGACGTGCCCTGGGCCTTTTCCCTGCCCTTGGCCAGGTGCAAGACGTGTGGGGAGTACATCTACAAGGGCAAGAAGTTCAACGCCCGCAAGGAGACGGTGCAGAACGAGTCCTACCTGGGGCTGCCCATCTTCCGCTTCTACATCAAGTGCACGCGCTGCCTGGCTGAGATCACCTTCAAGGTCAGCCTGGCCCCACCATTCCAGCCTCTCCTGCCTTGCAGGAGCTTGGGGTGGAGCCCAGGGAACAGCTGGAGCTGTGCCAGGGTGCTGGGCTGGAGATCAGGAGAAGGTTTTGTCCCCCCAGGGTGGAGATCAGGAGAAGTTTTGTTTATTCTGTTTATCTCTAACACGTTCTGCTGCCCTGCCGCAGCTCTGTCCTGCAGGGCAGCGTGTGGGGCTCTGCCCTCAGTGGGATGGTACAAACATTAAATACCACAAACTACCTGTGCTGGATTTACAATAACGTGCCAATATCTGTCACCTACGTTGGACAGTGTGTCCCCAGCCTGAACCAACAGAAAAATGCCAACACCACAGTGAAACATGGAGGGCATGAAGAAGGAGAAAAAGGACAAGGCACACCCAATTTCCTCCATCTTGTCCCCTTTGGGCCCCTAATCTAGAATCCTAAAATTTTACTTTTGCACCCGTGCCACACTTAATTATTACTGATATCAAACACTCAGAGCTGGTAATTGATCCTGTAAGATTGAAAACTCTTTTCCATGGCCAGAGATCACAGCCAGTGTCTCTGGGGGCTCTGTCCAGGGGGGTTCCTGACCCCTGCCAGGGTCCCAGGGCAGCCAGAGGGAAGCTCTGGACTCCCACAGGCTGGAGCAGGATCCCCACCCACCCGTGGTTTTCCTGCTGTTCCCCCCTCAGACAGACCCCGAGAACACGGATTACACCATGGAGCACGGCGCCACCAGGAACTTCCAGGCAGAGAAGCTCCTGGAGGAGGAGGAGAAGAGGATGCAGAAGGAGAGGGAAGAGGAGGAACTCAACAATCCCATGAAGGTACAAGGGCTGCAGGAAAACCTCTCCCACTCTGCCTGACTCTCCCCAGCCACAGCAGTGACTTTGTAGCCATTCAGACTTTCCTGTCTTACCCAAAAATGAGGATGAGGAGGGTCCTCTTGTGCTTCATCCAGCGTGGGGAGGTGTTGGAAGCTTCTGTCAGGTTCTGCTGCCTCAAATATCCCAACTTATCCCACCCAGGTCCTGGAGAACCGAACCAAGGACTCCAAGCTGGAGATGGAGGTCCTGGAGAACCTGCAGGAGCTGAAGGAGCTCAACCAGCGCCAGGCCAACGTGGATTTTGAGGCCATGCTGAAGCAGTACAAGGAGCTGGAGGAGGAGCAGAGGCGCAAGGAGCAGGAGGAGGACGAGCAGGAGATGAAGTGAGGGGGCTGGAAGGGCTGGGAGTGGGATGAGCCAGGCTGGGCCTGGGCTGTGCTGAGAGAGGGGGGCTGAGTTACCAGGATTTGGGGGGTGGGAGGAGATCCCAGCCTGTCCTGGCAAGGTGTTCAGGGAGAAGGAGTGGAAGGTCCCTCCAAGCCAGCCAGGCTGGGGTTCTGTGGGATCTGGGCTGCTGGGGGGGGGGTCCAGTCCCTCACACGGACCCGGTTTCTGCTCTGGGGTGAAGCTCCAGATCCCAGTGCTCCCACCCCTCAGGATGGAACCTGATCCCATAGAACCCCCTGGAAAGGGGGATCCCGAGGCTCTGCTGCTGGCCCCAGCTCCCCTGGAGCAAGCAGGGCCTGGCAGTGGGATGGATCCAGCTCCAACACTCTCTGTCCCAGCAGGGCCATGCTGGAACAGGCCCAGAACCGCCGGCTCCTGGTGGATTCCGACTCTGACGAGGAAGCGGCAAAACCCCTCCCCAATCCCACAGCCCGGACAAAACCCACGGACATCCTGCAGGAGGTGAGAGAGGCACAGCCTGCCCAGCCCTTCCCCAGCCCTTCCCCAGCCCCAGTGCTCTGTCCTGCAGCTGTGTGTGCCCATTGTGTCCCTGCTCTGGGTGACACCGGGCTCGTGTCACGCTGAGCAGGTCCCAAAGGCCGTGTCCCTGTGCTGAGAGCAGCCAGGGATCGCTTGGGGATTTCAGGCTGTGCCTGGTGACAAATGGAGCTGTCCCCATGCTCCCTTCTGAGCTCTGCTGGGCCCTGCTGCTGCTTCAGGCTGGGCCAGCCTCTCCCTGGGCTGTGCTTTGGATTCAGGCAGAACAAAAGAGCTCCCAGAGCCCGGCCTGGAGGGAGGGATTATCCCAACAAACAGCCCTGCCCTCTCCCCCTGTCAATCCCTGCCCCAGGGCCCCGTGTCTGCTGGGCTGGATCAAAGCTGCCGTGCCTGGGGTTAATCCCAGCCGTGGCCCCTGGCCTGGCACTAATCCCTGTGCCCAGGGCACTCAGTTGGTCCCTGGCCTGGCACTAATCCCAGTGCCCAGGGCACTCAGTTGGTCCCTGGCCTGGCACTAATCCCTGTGCCCAGGGCACTCAGTTCCGTGGCTGGACCACCTGCGGGCACCCAGGGCTGCTTCAGCCCCAGGGCTGCTCAGTGGCCTTGAAAGGAGCTGATAAAACAGAGAGAAAACAACTTTTATCCCGGCAGGGAGGGATAGGACACGGGGGAATGGTCTGGAATGGAAGGGGAGGGTTGGATGGGGTTTAAGGAGACTTTGGAATAGATTGCCCACAGAAACTGGCTGGAAGTGCCCAAGGTCAGGTTGGACAGGCCTTGGAGCAATGTGGGATAGTGAAAGGTGGGACTGGATGGGCTTTAAGGTCCTTCCAAGCCAAACCATCCTGGGATTGTTTTCTCTGCCTCCTCAGCACCCCAGGGCCATCCCAAGGCTGGGTTTGGGTCTCTGGCAGTGGGACATGGATCTCCAGGGGCAGCTTTGCAGATCCACATCCCTGTTTGTCCGGCCTGAGCCAGCCCTGCAGGGGCAGAACTCCCCCTCAGGCCCCTCTCCTTGTGTCTCTGCTGGTTTTATCCCCAGTTCCCCCACGTCCCCTCCAAGCTGGAGCCCCCTGACCCTGGCTGTGCCCCACAGGACCCCCAGCCCCAGAGCAAGAAGCCGAGGACGGAGAGCTGGGAGCGCAGCGTGGGCAAGCTCAGCACCAAGGCCCAGCTGGCCGGGCTGGTGGCCCGCAGGAAGCAGAAGGCAGATCCTGCCCTGGATAACGGGCTGGAAACCCGAGGCACCACGGCCAACACCGGTACCTGCCCCGGGCTGGGCCCTGGAGGGGCTCTGGCAGCTCCTGAGGGGGGTTTGGCTCCGTGCTCAGAGCCTGGGCTGGGGTTCCTGGGGGGGTGGGGTGAGAGCAGGGGGTTGTCCCCCTTTCCAGAAGCTTCCTGGTGAAGGTGAGGCTCCTTCCTGGCTCTTGGCTCTCAGCCACAGCCTTGGGGACGGACTGGCAGGGCCGGGACAAAACAGCAGATACAGGCCTGGGAACGTCACAACAGCTCGATAGGGCTGGAACAGCAGGAGAGCTGCTTTGGTTTGGGGTCTGGTGATAAATCCTGCCCAGCTGCTGGAGCTGGGAGGCTTTAAGGAGCACAAAACAAGCTGGAAGGCTTTGCAGCACCTCAGTGAGCTGCCCAGCAAGCCAGGGGATCCATGGGTTTGGGGAAGGACATGAGGGATGGATTTGCTCTGGGCTGGTTGATCCTAAGCCTTTGGCTTAGTGAGAGTTCCCCTGCCCTCAGGAGACCCTGGGAAGGGACAGCTCTTGGAGGTGTCCCCTTTTCCCTTCCCCAGCCACCTGCTCCTGGCTGCTGTCCCAAGGACTGGGCTGGTGGGAGCCCAGAGCTGGCTCCTCTCCCCTTTTCCAGGGTCTGGAATCTCCCAGGGGGCTGTGGAGGGAGAAGGGGGGTGGTCCCAGACCTTGGTGCTTCCCGCAGGGTGAAGGAGGGAGGCTCCAGCCGAGGGGTGCAGGAGCTCTTTATCCACCTGATTTATCCTCCCTGACCTCAGGGTCCATCCAGGGATGAGGCTCCACTCGGGATCTCTCCAGCTCTGAGCCAGGCTGGTGTTCCCAACACTGGGAATTGCCCTGGGGAGGCTGGACCTGACCAGATCCTCTCCCTCCATCCCTCCCTCCTCTTCCAGGCTCGCTTCCAGCAGCAGCAGCAGCAGCAGCCACGTCCTCGCTGGGCTTGTTGGGAGCCTACTCAGACAGTGAGGACAGCACCAGCGACTGAGAGCCGGCGGGGCAGGGACAGGGACAGGGCAGGGACGGGACTGTCCCCGCTCCCTGCTGCTCCTGCAGCCCCACACCGAGCTGGCAGCACAGCCAGGGGCACGGGGATCCCGCTGCCACCTCCTGCCGTGCAGCAGCAGCACAGGGAAGGCGTTTTCCCTGCAGCAGGAACCCCCGGCAGCGTGTCCCAGCCCTGCTCCCAGGGTGTGTTTGGAAGTGCCAGGGCTGGACAGGACTCTGGTGTGTCCCTTCTGGGGGTGCCACTGCCCTCAGCCCTGCAGTGATCGTGCCCAGCTCGGGTTCAGGTCGGGTTTAGGGTGTCCTGTTTCCCCCCAGCAGGGAGGGGACCTTGGAGCTGTCCTTCCCACGGGGTGCAGGGGTAGGTGGGCACTCAGCCCCCCTCCTCTTCACCACCAGCTGGTTCTGTCCCGGGGTGTCTCAGATGCCACCTTTGCACACACCCAGGGGCTCCTGCAGCCCCTCACTGCGGGGACAGGGCTGTCCTGACACCACCAGCCCCCCCAGATGTCCCCCACAAATCGGGGACAAATCCCTCCCCGCCGTTCAGGCTCCAGCAGCCACAAGTCCGGAATAAACGGGATCTGGCAGAGCCAGATCAGAGCTTCATGTTCCAGAGAGTGATTTGTACGTGGGCACTGTCGGATCCTGCCCCAAGGACCCCCCCAGTGCCCACCCACCCCAAGCACGGCTCCCCTCACCCATGGCCATGAACTTCCCCCTCATCAAGGCACCCACCTCTAATTGCTGAGCAGCCTCTGGCTAATTAACACCCTCACAGAGGGGTGGGGGGTGGGCTCTGGGGCATCAGGGAGAGCTGGGCAGAAGGGCAGCCCCCCCCATCCCAATTAGCATTCTGTGCACATGCCTTAATTAGTCTCTTCAAATATTAATGCTGGCCACTGGGCTCAGCCCGGGCCTGGGGGGGCCTGAGGGGGGTCTCTGGCCGTGTCCTCCCAGATGTGTCCCCCACACTCCCCAGCTGTCACCACCCCCCAGCACCAGTGGGACCCCGAGAGGGACCCCGAGAGGGACCTTTGTTTGGGGACAGACAATGCCAGGAGGGGACTTGGGGCAGGGCTGGGGGGCTCCCAACCTCCTGCCCCCAGTGTGGTGTCTGAGCCCCCCAAACCGCGCGGCAGAGGGGGAGCAGAGCCCCCCGTGCCCCCCGGGACGAGCTCCCCGGGGTGGGTGACAGAGCTGGGGGGTCCTTGTTCCCCCCAAAACCCTGCAACCCCCAGCCCCGTGGCAGGAGGGGATCCCATCGCTGGGGTCTGGGGGTCCCGGTGGCCCCCCCTCCTTCTCCCGGTGTCACTCGGGGGTCCCGGTGCCCCCCGCCACTCGCGGGGGGGGATGAGCCCCGCGGGGTCCCGCCGTGTCGCCCTCGCTGTCCCTGCCGGTGTCCCCTCGGTGGTCTCGCCCCCCCCGTGCCGGTGCCCCCGGCGAGGCGGGGGATCGGGGGGGATCGGGGGGGGATCGGGGGCTCCGGTCCGCGCCGCGCGCGGCGGCGACACAAAGCGGCTCCGGCGGCGGCGGCGGCGGCGGCGGCGGGGGGGGTCCCGGCGGGTCCCGGTGGTCCCGGTGCCGCTCCCCGCCATGGCCAAGTGGCTCCGGGAGTACCTGGGCCGGGGGGCCCGGCGCTCCCCCCCGCGCCCGCCCCAGCCCGACTACAGCGGTCCCGGGGGTGCCCCCGCCGCCGCCGCCCCCGGAGCCGCGCTCCGCGGCCCCGCCGCCTCCCCGCGCCGCCGCCTCGTGCGGGTGGGGGGCGCGGGGCCGGGGGGCGGCCCCCGCCGCCTGCAGCAGGTACGGGCGGGGGGCACCGGGAGGGCACCGGGAGGGTACCGGGAGGGCACCGGCGGGTACCGGGGGCACCGGGCGGGAGCGGCAGCCGAGCGCCGGGAGCGGGGAGGGCGGCGGAGGGACCGAGGGGTACGGGGGGGGCAGCGGGTGGGGGGCACCGGGAGCGGGAGGAACGGGGGGTCGGGCAGGTGGTAATGGGGCAGCGGGGAGAACGGGGGAGCGGCGAACGGGGGGGTCTGGGGACCGGAGGGGATGGGGGGAGATGGGGAACGGGGATGGGGGCCGGGAAAGCGGGATGGGGAACCGGGGAGAGCCAAGGGGTCGAGGGGCAGCCAGGGAGGAGCTGGGGTCACTGGGAGAGGAAACTGGGGGGCGGCTGGAGTCACTGGGAGAGGGGGAAGGGGAAGGGGGAAAGGGGCTGGGGGACAAAGGGACCAGCTGGGCGGGAGTGAGGACGGGGCTGGGGACACCCTTGGCGGGGATGTGGGAGCCCCAAGGGTCCCGTGAGGGCACCCAGGGACCGGGGGGCTGCCGGGGGGACAGTGGGGGTCCCGTCCCACCCGGAGCCCTCCCCGCAGGGCCCAGGGGAGAGCGAGTACTCCGAGCCCTTCGAGGGGGAGCAGGACCCGGCGGCCGAAGGCGGCTGCGACGAGGAGGCCACAGGTGGGTGGTGACACCCCGGGCACCCCCAGCACCCCGCGGGGGTCCCGGGCGCCTCCCACCGCCCCGTTCCCCATCGCCAGGGTGCCCGCGGCAGGGCGAGGGCCGGCGGGTGCGGCCGCGCAGGGGTCCCCAACTCTACGACACCCCCTCCGAGGAGTGGGACACGGCCGGGGACGGCCCGGGGGGACCCCCGGCCCGAGAGAGCCGCCTGCCCCGCGACGATGAGCGCCCGGCCGACGAGTACGACCAGCCCTGGGAGTGGAAGAAGGATCACATCTCACGGGCGTTCGCAGGTGACAGTCCCCGGCTGCCACCTCGGGGGAAGCACAGCACCCATGGGTGCCACTCCTGGCTCCCTCCTCCTTGTGGGGACCACCCCAGGGTCCCCCAACCCTACATCCCGCAGCTTCCATGGGTATCAGTCCTGGCCCTCAGCATCCCCAGCACCCCGGGGTCCCCCCCACATCCCTTGGCACCCACAGCTCTCACCCCTGCCACCCCTGTGGTATCCCCCCAGAGCACTCCTGGCCCCTTTGTGGCACTGAGAGGGGGCGGGCAGGGTGGGTGGGTGACACCCCTTTGTCCCTGCAGTGCAGTTTGAGAGCCCCGAGCGCTCCCCCAGCCTGTCCCGGCGGGTGCCACCCTCCCCCCGGACCCCCGGCGGCCCCCGGCCCGGCTGTCCCCCCAGCCCCAGGCACGTGGACACCTCGCTGCCCCTGGAGAAGCAGGCGTGAGTCTGGGGGCGTCCCGTGGCGTGGCACCACCAGCATCCCGGTCACACAGCGTGGCACGGGGGCAAAGCTGGGGAGGAGGAGGTCCCTCCCCACGGGTGGGTCCTTGTGGGGTCAAGGGTGTCCCGTGGTGTGGCTCTTTGACATGGATGGGTCCCCAGGGGGTGTGGAGGGCCCCATGTCCTGAGTGAATCCCCATGGGGTTGGGTGCTCCACAGGGTCTTGAGTGCCCCATGGCATGGTTGGGTGGCCCATGGTGTGGTTGGGTGCCCCATGGAGTGTTTGGGTGCCCCATAGGATGCTTGGATGCCCCATGGCATGGTTGGGTGCCCCATGGTGTGGTTGGGTCCCCCATGGTGTGCTTGTGTGCCCTATGGTGTGGTTTGGTGCCCCATGGCATGGTTGGGTGCCCCATGGTGTGGTTGGGTCCCCCATGGTGTGGTTGGGTGCCCCATGGCGTGCTTGGGTCCCCCATGATGTGGTTGGGTGCCCCATGGTGTGGTTGGGTGCCCCATGGAGTGTTTGGGTGCCCCATGGTGTGGTTGGGTCCCCCATGGCATGGTTGGGTGCCCCATGGCATGGTTGGGTCCCCCATGGTGTGGTTGGGTGCCCCATGGCGTGGTTGGGTGCCCCATGGCATGGTTGGGTCCTCCATGGTGCATTATTGTGCCCCATGGTATGGTTGGGTGCCCCATGACGTGCTTGGGTGCCCCATGGTGTGGTTGGGTGCCCCATGGCATGGTTGGGTCCCCCATGACGTGCTTGGGTGCCCCATGGCATGGTTGGGTCCCCCATGGTGTGGTTTGGTCCCCCATGGCATGGTTGGGTACCCCATGTCATGGTTGCCCCTCCGACTCCCTTGGGTGCCAACGCCCTGACTGCCTCCATGCCGTGGAAGGTGCCCCACGGCACAGGAGGTCCCTGTGGGGTGTGGGTGGCTCCCCAAGCCGCAGCGGGTGCCCCGCGTTGCTGACGGGTCCGAGCAGCCGGGAGGGTGCCCGGTGGCACAGGGGGTGCCCGTGTGACCCCGCTGTGCCCAGGTGGTACCACGGCCCCATCGGGCGGGCGGGCGCGGAGACGCTGCTGGCGCTGTGCCGCGAGGGCAGCTTCCTGGTGCGGGACTGCGAGACCAGCCCCGACGACTACTCGCTGTCCCTCAGGTGAGCGTGGGGCGCGGGCACGGCCCCGGCCTCAGCCCTGCCGGGGAGGCCGTGCCAGGCCGGCGGGGTGGGGTTGGATCGGGGTCGTGCCGTGTTTGGCTGTCCCAGTGTCCGTGGGGATGTGCTGGCATGTCGCCATGCATGGGACAGGCGGGAGGTGACCCGGGATCCCTCGCCTGGGGCAGTGCCACCCCCTACCTCTGCTCTGGATGGGTCCCCATTACTGTCCTCATCCCCACTAGTGTCCACATCTGTGCCTCAGTCTCCATCCCAGTCCTCATCCCCATTCCCAGTCCCTCATCCCATTCCTATTCCCATCCCAGGTGTCCTCCCCCTATCCCCATCCCTATCCCCATCCCCATCCCCATCCCTATCCTTGTCCACCTCCCTGTCTGAGCCTCCACCCTGTTCCTAATTCCTGTCCCCATCTTCATTCCCATCCCATCCCATGGATCCCATCCCATGGATCCCATCCCATGGATCCCATGGATCCCATCCCATGGATCCCATCCCATCCCATCAATTCCACCCCATGGATCCCATCCCACGGATCCCATCCCATGGATCCCATCCCATCCCATCCCATTGATCCCATCCCATCCCATGGATCCCATCCCATGGATCCCATCCCATTGATCCCATCCCATCCCATGGATCCCATCCCATGGATCCCTTCCCATCCCATCCCATCCCATGGATCCCATCCCATCCCATGGATCCCTTCCCATCCCATGGATCCCATCCCATCCCATCCAATCCCATGGATCCCATCCCATGGTTCCCATCCCATCCCATGGACTCCATCCCATCCCATGGATCCCATCCCATGGATCCCATCCCATGGATCCCATCCCATCCCATTGATCCCATCCCATCCCATCAATTCCATCCCATCCCATGGATCCCATCCCATCCCATGGATCCCATCCCATCCCATGGATCCAATCCCATGGATCCCATCCCATCCCATGGATCCCATGGATCCCATCCCATCCCATGGATCCCATCCCATCCCACCCCACAGATCCCACCCCCCGGATCCCAGGCCGGTTCCCGTGCCCCATTTCCCGTCCGTCCCGCAGGAGCAGCCAGGGTTTCGTGCACGTGAAGCTGACGCGGACGCGGGAGCAGCACTTCACGCTGGGCCGGGCCGGGGCCGCCTTCCCGTCGGTGCCCGCGGCCGTGGGGCACTACACAGCCCGGGCACTGCCCGTGCGCGGTGCCCGCCACCTGTCCCTGCTCTACCCCGTGGCCGTGCAGCCCCTCTGAGCCCCCGGGACCCCCCCCATTAAAGCCACCCTGTCACATCGGGGCGGGGACGCTGTGATGCCTCCGCGGGGGTTTGGGGACGGGGATTTGGGGAGGAGTTCTTGGGATGTGGATGGGGAGATCAGGGACAGGGATGGGGACAGAGGTGGGGAACTGAAATGGGGATTTGGGGGAGAAAGGGATGGGGTGGGATGGGATGGGATGGGATGGGATGGGATGGGATGGGATGGGATGGGGATGGGGACAGGAATGGGTGCCTTTGGTGCATCTTGGTGCCCAACTCTAGTGTCCCTGGGCAAGGCAGGACGCGATGATGGCACTGCCACTGCTGTCCCACCCTGGTCTCATCACCGTGAAGGATCCCCAGGAAGGGGGGGGGGTCGACATGAGTGCCCCCAGCCACGGGCACGGCACGGGGTGGCATTGCCTGGGGTCACCCACATGGTGAGGGGCTGGTGGCACTGCCCCCCCTTGCTACCCACCCCCCAGCACAGCCCTCGTGTGACACCAAGGAAGAGGCCAGGGGACAACAGACTGGCACAGTGACAAGGAGGGGCACAGGATGGCACGGGGCGGGGGGGGACGGAGAGGACGCTGAGCCGGGTGACAGGATGCTGCCAAACACCTTTTTCGGGGGGTTTCCTGAGGAAGGGCAGAGCTGGGGGAGGGTGTGAGGCCCAGCGGGCACCCTCAGGGCCGGGGGGGCAGGGGGGGGCCCCGTGCCCGCTGCAGCTCCCGCTGGTACGGGCTGATCCCCGGCTCGGGGGGTGGCAGCTTTGGGGGGTCCCGCAGCGAGAGGGACACCACGTTCAGGTAGATGGCCGTGTCCGAGGGGACAGCGCCTGCCGGGGGTCACCTCTGTCAGCCAGGACCCTCGGGGGGCACACGGGGTGCCCTGGAGTGGGGGATGGTGATGGGGAGGGGCGAGCAGGGGGGGTTTGGGGTTAGGGGAACATGGTACAGGTGGGCATGGGGGCGTTTGGAGGATGTGAGGAGTACTGGAGAGGGGAGTTTGGGGACAGAGTTACCTGGGCACCTGTGACAGCAGCGGTGGGCGAGCAGTGCCATCCCCAGGAGGAGGGTGGTGCCCCCCAGGCCCCCCAGGAGCCCCCAGCACAGTGCTGCAAGCACAGCCAGCGGGGTCACCCCCGGCCCCGGGGACACGGGGGTGTCAGGGTGGAGGGCACAGCAGGGACAGCGGGGGCACAGTTACCTGCCCGATGTCCTTCAAGGGCTGCTGCTGTGAGGGGAGAGCAGTCAGAGATGTCCCTGTCCCCATCCCTGTCCAAATCCCTGTCCCTGTCCCCATCCCTGTCCCCATCCCTGTGCCCATCCCCATCCCTGTCCCCATCCCTGTCCCAAATCCCTGTCCCCATCCCCATCCCCGTCCCCATCCCCATCCCCATCCCCATCCCCATCCCCATCCCCGTCCCCATCCCCATCCCCATCCCCATCCCCATCCCCGTCCCCATCCCCATCCCCATCCCTGTCCCTCCTTACTGTGGCCACCCAAACCCCCCAGAAATGTCCCTGAAGGGACCCCACCCACCCCGCTGGTGGCCCTCAGTGACCCTCCCGAAGCCCCTCGGCGGTGCCACCTCCCCGGGCGCCCCCACCCGCACCGCGGGGCGGTCCCGGGCGGTCCCGGGCGGTCCCGGGCAGTACCGGGCGGTCCCGGGCGGTCCCGGGCGGTCCCGGGGGTGACGCGGAGCTCGGTGCCGTTGCCGGTGGCGGAGCCGTGCCGGGGGATCTCGAGTGTCACCCGGCAGAGGTAGCGCCCGCTGTCGTTGCCCTGCACCTGCGACAGGCTGAGGGTGGCCCGGGGGGGGTGCCAGGCCAGCCGGACCCCCGGGGCACGGCGGGGACAGGGGGACAGGGGCACGGGGATGCCAAAGCGCAGGCGGGTGGCACAGAGCACCCCAAAAGCCCCGTCCCTCACCCACTCCATCCGCAGCAGGGCCTCGCTCTCGGCCACCTCCACCTGGCACTGCAGGGCCACCGTGCCACCCGTGGTCACCTGCAGCTCGCCCGGGTCCTGGGTCACCCGCAGGGCGCCCGCTGGGGGGGGATGGATGGCACCCCCAGCCCCACGGTCCCCCAGGACACCCGTGGGGTGGGGGACAGGGACACTCCAGGCTCGCTGCCCACGTGTCACCTCTGACCACACGTCCCATCCTGTCCCCTGCCCTGTCCCCTCCCCATGTCCCCCCATCCATCCATCCATCCATCCATCCATCCATCCATCCATCCATCCATCCATCCATCCATCCATCATCCATCCATCCTCACCTGCTCCATCCTGTCCCCCTGCCACAGCCGTGTCACCCACCTCTGTCCCCATGTCTGTCCCTCCCTCTGTGTCCTCAGCCCCTCTCTGGTCTCCCCCTTCCCGTCCCATCTGTCACACAGGGCTCAGCCCCGTGCCCCCCCAGTGTCCCCTGGCTGGCCTGTCCCCAACCCCACAGCACAGCCACAGGGTCCCTGTGCTGTCCCCTCTGTCCCCCACTCACCTCCAAGGAGGGGGATGAGGACCCCGAGCTGCCACATCCCACCCTCCGAGGGGCCGCGTCCCCAAGTGGTGCCAGTCCCCACACTGTCGCTGTCCCCAAAGCCTCCTGGCCCTCCGCGATGTCACCCGGGCCAGCCCACCGTGACATTGTGGCTTCCGGCGGCTGTGGTACGGGGGAGGTGACAGGGACAGAGAGGGGACCGGGGCGGGGGCAGAGGTGGGGACGGGGATTTGGGCAGGGACGGGGCGGATGTCGGGATGGGGACGGGGACGGGGAAAGGGACTGGAATGGGGACAGGAACAGGGACAGGGATGGGGACAGGGATGGGGACAGGGATGGGGACAGGGATGGGGACAGGGATGCAGTTGGGGACGGGGATTTGGACAGGAATGGGGACAGGGATGGAGACAGGGATGGAGACAAGGATGTGGTTGGGGACAGGGATTTGGACAGGGATGGGGACAGGGATGTGATTGGGGACCGGGATTTGGACAGGGATGGGGACAGGGATGGGGACAGGGATGGAGACAAGGACGTGATTTGGGACAGGGATGAGGACAGGGATGGGGACAGGGATGCAGTTGGGGATGGGGATTTGGACAGGAATGTGGACAAGGATGCGACTGGGGACAGGGATGGGGACAGGAATGGAGACAAAGATATGACTGGGGACAGGGATTTGGACAGTGATGGGTACAATTCTGTGGGACACCATCCGAACTGAGGACAAGTGACAGCACCTCCTCATGTTCCACCTTGATCCCGGCACCACTCCAGCCTCGGGAGGAGCTCGGTGGGGACTTCCTCTGATCCCCCTGGAGCAGCCCGGCGAGTTGGGCTGCGGGGTTCGGATTCCTGCACTGGGAAGTGTGACAATGTCCCCACCGCCCCTCCGGGGGGTGACAATGTCCCTCCCCCCGCGGGGGTCGCAGCCGCCGCTCCTGGACTACAACTCCCAGCGTGCCTCGGGGTGGGCGTGGCCGGCCCGGGGGGCGTGGCCAGGCGGGGCGGGGCGGGGGCGCCGCTCCCCCTTTGTTGGTGGCGGCGGGGCCGAGCGCGGCGGGGCCGGCCCGGAATGGGCGACCAGGTACGGCCCGGGGCCCCCGGGAGCGGCGGGGCACGGCGGGGCACGGCGGGGCGCGGCGGGGCACGGCGGGGTGCGGGAGGAAGCGGGCGGGGGGGGGATGAAGGGATGGAGTGAGGAGGGTGGAGAGAGGGAGGGATGGAGGGATGGAGGGAGGGATGAAGGAAGAAGGGCCGGAGGGATGGAGGAAGTGGGGATGGAGGGATGGGAGGGAGGAGGTGGGGATGGAGAAGGAGGGATGAGGAGCGCAGGTGCGGAGGATGGAGGGGCTGAAGGGATCAGGGTGGCACCGGAGGGCTGGGGGGGCACGGAGGGATCAGGGGGCTCAGCGCTGCCACACTCACACTCACACTCACATTGCCAAGTCATCGGCCCCGCCATGCCCGGCAGCTGGGCTGGCACGGCCTGGCACGGCCCGGCACGGCCCGGCACGGCCCCGGGGGGAGCGGGGGGCCCGGGGCACCGACCGGCGGGCACTGACACCCGGTGCAGGGCGCCGGGCAGGAGTCTCTCCGCAAGATCATCACCACCCTCGCCGTGAAGAATGAGGAGATCCAGAACTTCATCTACTCCCTCAAGCAGATGATCCAGAACGTGGAGGTACCCCGGCCCCCCGCGCCCCCCGGGGCCCCGTGGGGGCAGCCCCAGCTCAGGCCCCGCCGTTGTGCCCAGGCCAACTCGGCGCGGGCGCAGGAGGACCTGGAGGCCGAGTTCGAGTCGCTCTACGTGCTGCTGGCCGAGCTCAAGGAGGACATGGTGATGAAGATCAAGCAGGAACGTGCCAGCCGCACCTACGAGCTGCAGGTGAGCTCCGGACCCGGTGCCCCCCAGGTCTGGGACTCTGCCCAGCGCTGCCCCTCTGCCCTCCCTCCCTGCCAGGCCCAGCTCGCGGCGTGCTCCAAGGCCCTGGAGAGCTCCGAGGAGCTGCTGGAGGCGGCCAACCAGGCCCTGGGCACGGCCAACCACCAGGACTTCTCCCAGGTGGGTCCCCGCCGTGCCAGGGGTGGCCCTGCATGGCTGTCCCCACTCTGGGGGTGTCCTGACCCCCCCTTGCCACCCGCTCGATGTCCCCCTGGGCCGGGCACCGCTTCTCTCTCCCTGCTGGGCTGGCTGGGCCTGGGGGGAGCGTGGACACCCGGGGTGACCCCAGGGCCCCCCTTGCTCCTGACACAAAGGGGCAGCATGGCAGAACCACGGGGGGCACTGGGGGCACACGGGGTGCTGTGCCAGGGAGGTGCTGTGCCAGGTGTACCACTGTGGGATGCAGGGAGGCCCTGGGATGCTCTGGGATGCCCTGGGATGCCCTGGGGATGCTCTGGGATGCAGGGATGCTCTGGGGATGCCCTGGGATGCTCTGGGATGCTCTGGGGATGCTCTGGGATGCTCTGGGGATGCTCTGGGATGCTCTGGGATGCTTTGGGGATGCCCTGGGATGCAGGGATGCTCTGGGATGCCCTGGGATGCTCTGGGATGCTTTGGGGATGCTCTGGGATGCTGGGATGCCCTGGGATGCCCTGGGATGCAGGGATGCCCTGGGATGCTCTGGGATGCTCTGGGATGCCCTGGGATGCTCTGGGATGCTCTGGGATGCTCTGGGATGCCCTGGGATGCCCTGGGATGCTCTGGGATGCAGGGATGCTCTGGGATGCTCTGGGATGCCCTGGGATGCTCTGGGATGCTCTGGGATGCTCTGGGATGCTCTGGGATGCTCTGGGATGCAGGGATGCTCTGGGATGCTCTGGGATGCTCTGGGGATGCTCTGGGATACTCTGGGATGCTCTGGGATGCTCTGGGATGCTCTGGGATGCTCTGGGATGCAGGGATGCTCTGGGATGCTCTGGGATGCTTTGGGGATGCCCTGGGATGCTCTGGGATGCCCTGGGATGCTCTGGGATGCAGGGATGCTCTGGGATGCAGGGATGCTCTGGGATGCTTTGGGGATGCTCTGGGATGCCCTGGGATGCTCTGGGAAGCTCTGGGATGCAGGGATGCTCTGGGATGCTCTGGGATGCTTTGGGGATGCTCTGGGGATGCTCTGGGATGCTCTGGGATGCAGGGATGCTCTGGGATGCCCTGGGATGCTCTGGGATGCCCTGGGATGCAGGGATGCTCTGGGATGCAGGGATGCTCTGGGATGCTCTGGGATGCAGGGATGCTCTGGGATGCAGGGATGCTCTGGGATGCAGGGATGCTCTGGGGATGCTCTGGGATGCTCTGGGATGCAGGGATGCTCTGGGATGCAGGGATGCTCTGGGGATGCTCTGGGATGCTGTGGGATACAGGGATGCAGGGATGCTCTGGGATGCCCTGGGATGCAGGGACGCTGTCCTGCTGGGTGCCACAGCTGGTACAGGTCCCGCATGTGCTCCCTGTGCCCGGCTCTGCTGCCTCACTGCTGCTTTTCTCCTCCTCTTTCCCTCTGCGCTCACAAGGCGGCCAAACAGATCAAGGATAGGTACGGCCCCCCCGAGCCCCCCACTAACCCCCATCCTCCTCCTCCTCCTCCTCCTCCTCCTCCTCCTCCTCCTCTTTCTCCTCCCACCACAGGGGGTGGTCCCAAGGTGCTGGGGTGGCCCTGTGGGTGCTGGGGTGGCCCTGTGGGTGCTGGCGTGGCTGTGCCCACCCTCCCCGGGGTCACACAGGGCACAGGGGGGGGTGCCCGGCCCCACTGAGCCCCGTGCCCTGTCCTGGCACAGCGTGACGATGGCTCCGGCCTTCCGCCTGTCGCTCAAGGCCAAGGTCAGTGACAACATGAGCCACCTGATGGTGGATTTCGCCCAGGAACGGCGCCTGCTGCAGGGCCTCGCCTTCCTGCCAGGTACTGCCAGGGCAGGGGGGCACGGGGGGACAGGGCAGGGCATGGCCAGCCTGGCATCAGGGCAGGGGGGCACGGGGTGGGGCAGTGCCAGGCCTGGGGTGCCTTTCCAGAGGGGCAGGAAGGTGCCAGGGATGGGTGGAGGGATGGGGGGTTTGGGTGCTGTGCCCAGGGGGGCAGTGAGGGCCGTGCTGGGGGTCTCTGGCTGCCATGGGGTGGGGTCCCATGGGTGCCACGCCTGAGGAATGTGACTTGTTGAGCCCTGGGGGTGCCCGGGAGTGCTGGGGAAGCCCTGTGTGACAGGGAGGGGGGACACTGGCACGGCTGCTCCTGCGGGCAGTGCCCAGCGCCCCCGAGATCGACCTGGCGGAGTCCCTGGTGGCCGATAACTGTGTGACCCTGGCCTGGAGGATGCCCGAGGAGGACAGCAAGATCGACCACTACGTGCTGGAGTACCGCAGGACCAACTTCGAGGGGCCCCCCCGTGCCAAGGAGGACCAGCCCTGGATGGTCATCGAGGGCATCAAGGGCACTGAGTACACCCTGACTGGTGAGGGCACGGCCCTGGGCGGGCGCTGGGGTTGTCCCAGGCTCTGTGAGGGACACGGGGGTGGCAGTGCCCTCCTCATGTCCCGACCCCGCTGTGCCCGCAGGGCTGAAGTTTGACATGAAGTACATGAATTTTCGGGTGCGGGCGTGTAACAAGGCGGTGGCGGGCGATTTCTCCGAGCCGGTCACTTTGGAGACCAGAGGTGGGTCCAAGGGGAGGGTGGCAGGTGCCCGTGTGCCCCTGTGCCACCCGTGGGGCCGCAGCACTGCTGACAGGGGCTGTCCCCAGCGTTCATGTTCCGGCTGGATGCCAGCACGTGCCACCAGAACCTGCGGGTGGAGGAGCTGAGCGTGGAGTGGGACGCCACGGGCGGGAAGGTGCAGGACGTCAAGGCCCGCGAGAAGGATGGCAAGGGCAGGACAGCCTCCCCTGCCAACTCCCCTGCCAGGTAACGCCACCCCCGGGCCCCCAGCACGGCCGCTGGGCCTGGCAGTGCCAACCCTGCCCTGTCCCCGTGTGCCAGGGTGGTGCAGTCGCCCAAGAGGATGTCCCTGGGCCGTGGGGGCCGCGACCGATTCACCGCAGAGTCCTACACGGTGCTGGGTGAGAGCAGCACACGGGGTGGGGGTTTGGGCACCCAGGGGTGTGGGGGTATGGGCACCCAGGGGTGTGGGGTTTGGGCACCCAGGGGTGTGGGGGTTTGGGCACCCAGGGGTGTGGGGTTTTGGGTACCCAGGGGTGTGGGGGTTTGGCACCCAAGGGGTGTGAGGTTTGGGCACCCAGGGGTGTGGGCTTGGGCACCCAGGGGTGTGGGGTTTGGGTACCCAGGGGTGTGGGGTTTGGGTACCCAGGGGTGTGGGGGTTTGGGTACCCAGGGGTGTGAGGGTTTGGGTACCCAGGGGTGTGGGGTTTGGGCACCCAGGGGTGTGGGTAAGGAGGGAGTACACAAGGTCTGGGGGTTTGGGCACCCAGGGGTGTGGGGGTTTGGCACCCAAGGGGTGTGGGGGTTTGGGCACCCAGGGGTGTGGGGTTTTGGGGCATGTGGGGATGTGGCTGAGGAGGGGGCACAGAGGGGACGATGCAGGGGGGCAGAGGGGCACCGTGGCGGGGTGGGGACGGGACAGGGCACCCATGGGTGCCCCAGGCAGAGCCATGGCCGTGCCCCAGGGGACACCCTGATCGACGGGGACGAGCACTACTGGGAGGTGCGCTACGACCGGGACAGCAAAGCCTTCGGCGTGGGCGTGGCCTACCGCAGCCTGGGCAAGTTTGACCAGCTGGGCAAGACGTCGGCATCGTGGTGCCTGCACCTCAACAACTGGCTGCAGGTCAGCTTCAGCGCCAAGCACAACAACAAGGCCAAGGCGCTCGACGTGCCCGTGCCCGACTGCATCGGCGTCTACTGCAACTTCCACGAAGGTGCGGCTGGGCTGGGCTGGGCTGGGGTGGCTGGGCGTTGGCCTCTCCCTGGGTGCCAGTGTGGCGTTGGCACCACCATGGGCATTGTCACCTCCATGGCCATTGTCATCTCCATGGCCATTGTCACCTCCATGGCCATTGTCACCTCCATGGCCATTGTCATCTCCATGGCCATTGTCACCTCCATGGCCACTGTCACCTCCATGGCCATTGTCATCTCCATGGCCATTGTCACCTCCATGGGCATTGTCACCTCCATGGGCACCAGTGTGGCGTTTGCACCTCCATGGGCACTGTCACCTCCATGGCCATTGTCACCTCCATGACCATTGTCACCTCCATGGCCACTGTCACCTCCATGGCCACTGTCACCTCCATGGCCATTGTCACCTCCATGGCCACTGTCACCAGCACAGGCACTGTCACCACCATGGCCACTGTCACCTCCATGGCCATTGTCACCTCCATGGCCATTGTCATCGCCATGGCCATTGTCACCTCCATGGCCACTGTCACCAGCACAGGCACTGTCACCACCATGGCCACTGTCACCTCCATGGCCATTGTCACCGCCATGGGCACTGTCACCACCATGGCCATTGTCACCTCCATGGCCACTGTCACCTCCATGGCCACTGTCACCAGCACAGGCACTGTCACCACCATGGCCACTGTCACCACCATGGCCACTGTCACCTCCATGGCCATTGTCACCTCCATGGCCATTGTCACCTCCATGGGCACTGTCACCTCCATGGCCATTGTCACCTCCATGGCCATTGTCACCGCCATGGGCACTGTCACCACCACAGGCACTGTCACCTCCATGGCCATTGTCACCTCCATGGCCACTGTCACCTCCATGGCCATTGTCACCACCACAGGCACTGTCACCTCCATAGCCACTGTGACCTCCATGGCCATTGTCACCACCACAGGCCCTGTGCCCGCCCCGTGCCCACCGTGTCCCCCTCCCACAGGTTTCCTGTCCTTCTACAACGCCCGGACCAAGCAGCTGCTCCACACCTTCAAGGCCAAGTTCTCCCAGCCGGTGCTGCCGGCCTTCATGGTAAGGGGGGGCAGGGCTGGGGGGTCCTGGGGGGCTGCCAGCGCTGGGGTCCTCCCTCTGAGCCCCTGCTGTGTCCCCAGGTGTGGTGTGGCAGCTTCCAGGTGACATCGGGCTTGCAGGTGCCCAGCGCCGTGCGCTGCCTGCAGAAGCGCAACAGCACCGCCAGCAGCTCCAGCCTGCCCTGAGCGCGGGCACGGCCCTGGATGTGCCCCCAGCCCGCACCCAGCGCTGCCCTGCAGGGCTCTGCCACCGCCGGGGCTGCCCACAGCCCCCCACTCCGTGCCCCCCCCGTGTCACCGGGGCTGCTGCCCCCCCCAGCACCGAGAGCTGCTTCTGGCCTGGACAATAAATCGGGATGTAGGTGTGACCTGGCCGTGGATGGGGCACAGGGGGGGACTTTGGGGTCCCTGTGACACCCCCGTGGTGCCCGGGGCAGGAAGGGGCTGGGTGGGCACAGGGTGCTTTATTTACAGTGCTCCCCCCAGACATGAGGGGGTTCCCTCCCCGGTGTCACCACAGGCCAGGGGACACTGGGGACAGTTTTCCTGAGGGTGGGGGGGGGTCCTGCTGGCTGCTGGCACAGAGTGGGGACCAGGGGGCACCCCCAGAGTGTCCCCATCACTGAGCCTGGCACGGCTGCAGCTTCTCCTGCAGCTCCCGGGTACTCCCTGTGCGGGGAGGGGATGGAACTGTGAGCGCCTGGCAGAGAATCCCCCTCCCCCTGCCCTCCCCCCACCCCCCAGGAACCCTCTGAGCCTCCCCAGACCCCTCTGAGCGCCCCCAAACCCCGCTGAGCCTCCCCAGACCCATCTGTTCCCTGTCCCTTCTTTTGGGGGTCCCAGCTCCCAGGGGTCCCAAAGCTGAGGGGTTCCCTGTCTCTTTTTTTGGGGTCCCAGCTCCCAGGGGTCCCAAAGCTGAGGGGTTCCTGTCTCTTTTTTTTGAGGTCCTAGCTCCCAGGGATCCCAAAGCTGGGGGGTTCCCTGTCCCTTCTTTTGGGGATCACAATTCCCAGGGATCCCAAAGCTGGGGGGGGTCCCTGTCCCTTCTTTTTGGGATCCCAAAGCTGAAGGGTTCCCTGTCTCTTTTTTTGGGGTCCCAGCTCCCAGGGGTCCCAAAGCTGGGGGGTTCCCTGTCCTCCAGCTCCTTGCTGAGGGATCCAGGGGCATCACAGGGGTATGTGGTGGGTGCTGGATGCATAGAGGTGACACTGTCCCCTCCCAGATGCTGGAACATCTGCCACCTTCCTCCTGCCCCAGGGTCCTGGAGCTCCTGGGGGATTTGGCTGGGCTCCTCTCTAGAAACAGGCTCTTTATTTCCTCGCTCAGAAAAATAGATTAATTCCCAAAGTCAAAAAAAAAAAGAGTTTTAAAAGAGGGACCGACGAAAGTGGAGGCTGGAATGTGGCTGGCAGTGGGGCTGTACATGAGATGGTGCGGGTGGGGCTGTGCCTCCCCGCTCAGTAGCTCTCCTCCTCCTCAGGGTAGCAGTGGCACCCGGGCGGGTCCCCTGTGGCATTGGCCACCTCGGCCTGGCTGCCCTGGGGGCAGTACTTGGGGTCGTAGATCTGGCGGCCGAGGCCGAAGACCTGCCCGCTCTGGTTGGCGCCCTGGTTGGAGCCCATCTGCAGCGACATGGAGGAGTTGTCACACTTCTCCGTCCCCGTCTTGGCGTCGTAGATGTGTCTCCTGGTGCCGGGAGCCGTCATGCCCACCTGGAAGGGAGGGCAGGATGGAGCAGGCTCGGCTGTGGCCCTGCCAGCCCTCCCAGCGCGGCGTGGGGCTCACCTGACTGGCACATTTGTTAGTGCCCATCTGGAGGCTGATGGTGGAGTGGTCCATGGGTGGCAGGATCTGATTTTTGGGATCGTAGAGGTGCCTCCGGGTGCCGTAGGCCGTCATGCCGGACTGGCTGGCACACTTGTTCGTGCCCATCTGGCAAAGGGGGCTGCTGAGGAATGTGTGCTGCCCCACGTGTGCCCCTTCTGCCCCATCCCTATCCCCCCCCAGCCTGAGCAGCACAGCCAGAGCTCCGTAACCCCCTCAGGCTCCCGGCACTCCGCAGAGCCAAGATGGTCCCAGATCCCAAAAACACTTGAGGCACCTCGTGCCTTGGGTCCCTCAGCAACGCTCGGAGCTGTGACAGCGCTGAGAATTTGACACAAGTGGGCACCCTTTGCCCAGCCCCCCACCCCACCGTGGGACCCTGTGCCCACCTGCAGCCCGATCACGCACTGCCCAGCCTTCATCTTGGTCTCGTCGAAATTCCTCTGCTGCTTCTCCGAGTACTTAACGCCGATGTCCACCCCGCTCTGCAGCCCCTTGGTCTTGGCCTGCCAGGAGTGGCTGTGAGGAAGGACGGGGGTCCCAAACCCCCCCCCACCCACACCTCGGGCAGGGAGAGCTGCATGGCACCCCCCAAAACTCGGGGTGTCCCCAAACTGCTCATGCCCTGTGCTCACCATTCCTGCCAGCGCCAGCAGCGACACCTGCACCTGGGTCAGGTTCCCGCTCTCAAAAAGGTCGTTGGCTTCGAAGAGGTCCACGGGGTTCATGCCGTAGCTGGCCATGGCCTTGATGAAGTTGGAGAGGTTCTCAAGCTGTGGAGAGGTGGAGGGGGTGAGCCCTGGCGGGGGTGGCAGAGGAGCAGCGGGCAGGCGGCAGCGGAGCTGCACCCACCTGGTGCCAGTTCTGAGCCGAGCGGTTGATCTTCCTCACCGCGTTGGGCTGCAGCTTGTTCATGAGCCTGGAGGGAGGGAGAGGTGAGGCTGTGGCAGGAAAAACCTCAAGGAGCTGCAGGGGGAAGGTCCAGCCCAGGTCTCCTCCTGGTGAGGTGAATTTCCCCCCTCAGGTCCCTGTTTGTCCTCAGGGCTCTCCCCAGACGCAGAAGCCTTGGGGGTGATGCTGGTACAAATCCAGCCTCACCACAAGGGCTGGTGAGGGTCCCCTGGGGGCTTGGTGCCCCCCATCTCCTCCCAGCTGGGGCTGGGGGCCACGCTCAGGGCCGCCCCAGGACTCACTCGCAGAGGATCACCCCATCCTTCAGCCCCCTCTGGAAGTCAGGCCCGATCTGTTCTCCTGTCACGCTCTCGATCCACGTCCGCAGCTCGGCCTCCTTCTGTGGGTCATACTTCTGGGCGAGCTGGGGGACAGTGGGGGGACAGCTTAGGCAGGGCCCCAGCGTGCACCCCAACCCCTCATGGGGACAGTTCCCCCCTCCCTGGCACGGGAACAGCGACAGGAGCATGAGGATGATGCTGCCAGCAGACACGGCACCTTCTGAACCATTCCAAAAGCGAGAGAAGGGGGATGTAACCCCCCAGATTTCTCTCTCCCTGTCCGCTGGAGCCCGTGGGAGCTCAGCTCTGAGCCCCAGGGGTCCTGGCGACAGATGCTCTCCCCTTCCCTTCTGTCCAGGCCCAGCCTCCACCACAGATTCCTCCGGATTCCTCCGGATTCCTCGGTCACCGCGGCTATGCCAGGAATGTGGATGCCTCCTCCCAAATGGAGACCAGCTGCCAGGGCCAGCAGCATCTCTGGCCCACAAGGGAAGGGAAAGTTCTCCTGGCCTCGGGTGTGAAGGGCAGTGCTGTCCTGCCCCAGCCTGGCACCTCTGATGCTCAGCTGGCACCTGGGGGTGGTCCCAGGGCATCCACCAACCTCCTGCCCATCCTGTCCCGTTATGTGCCGAGGCCATGAGTCCCTGGGGATCCTGGGCACAGGGAGACACTGGGATGGGCACAGCCCAGCCCCACGAGGTGGCAGGGAGACACTCCAGGACCGACACAGGACACGGATCACCCTCATGGCACCCTGTGTGTCCTGGCTGTGGGATTCTCAGTCCCACTGGGTGATTTTCTGGAGCATGAGCAGCTGAAGGCAGTTCCTCTTCCCTCCCCACGGCCAGCTGAGCATTTCCCAAGGCATGGGGAGTGCACAGTGGAGCAGCCCCAGAGAGATCCCAGCACAGCCCAGTCTGTGAGTGCTTCCCCAGCCTGGGAGCGTGGCACTGGTCCAGCTGGTTCCCAGTTGGTGATGTCACCTCCATCAGACACCCCGGGGCAGTTGGACTGGCTCGTGTCTTGCTGAATCAACACGAAGCACCAAGGCCCCAGCGCATGTCACCGGCTCAGCTGGGGCAGGCCGGGGCCCATCCACTCTTCCCCGTTACGAAATGCAAACTGTAAATCCCCTGCCAGGCCAGGTAAGGAGTGCCTGTGTGGCCACCATATCTCACCAACCACGGCTGTGGCAGCCCCGTGCCCACCACCACTCGCCCCTTCTCCTGCCTGCCCTGGACATACCCGGGCAGAACACACTCAAACCAGCGGCCATGGGCCCCGGGGTGACCACGGCTCAGTCTCTGCTCGCCTGGGCACAGCCAGCGAGCACCCGGGGCTGCCGTGTCCCCTGTGCCCCCTCCCCGGCCTGGCAGGACCCCCGTGCGCTGGCGAGGGGGTGGGAGGTGCTGGCAGCTCTCTGCACCCTGTAGCACCCGGATCCCACCCTGTTACAGTGAGCTCATGGGCACTCTGTGCCCCCTTCCCCCAGGACCCTGTGACTCTGATCAGGATAACCCTGAACCCTCCTTCCTGCCCCAACGGGGTTGGCGGAGAGCCAGGAAAGCCCACCCTGTCCAAAACCTATATAGACCCCTGAGATTTCCTGTTCGTCCTCTTTGCCCCGCTCTCCCTATGGACACCACAGAATAAAGAGAGCTGAACCAATTTATATTAGGGTAAGAGCCTCTTTTGGGAATCTTTGCCATCTCCTGATATGTAGTTTCCCCCCTCCACTCAGCCCCCCGAATAATCAGGCTAGCTCAGAGATAAGAGGCTGTGAGGGGAGGAATATCAGGAGAAGGGTAAAGATATTCAAAAGAGGCTCTCACCCCAGGGTAGGTTGGTTCAGCTCTCTTTATTCTGTAATGTCCATGGGAGAGTGGGGCAAAAGAGAGTGAACAGGAATTGTCAGGGGTCTATATAGGTTTTGGGCAGGGTGGGCTTCCCTGGCTCTCTACCAACCCCGTTGGGGCAGGAAGGAGGATCCAGGGTTATCCTGATCAGAGTTACAAGGTCCCGGGAAAGGGGGGCACAGGGTGCCCATGAGCTCCCTGTAACACTGATACTCCTCCCCTCACAGCCTCTGATCTCTGAGCCAGCCTGATTATTCGGGGGGCTGTGTGAGGGGGGAATGACACCGCCCAGGGGTGCAAACAGCTCAGCCGGAGGTTCCCATCCATCCCTCCTTCCCCTTCCTTCCCCGGGGCATCCCCGGGGCCGAAAGCCGCATCCCCAGAGCCGGCCGCGGGGACGCTGCCGGGTCGGAGCATCCCGCAGAGCGATGTGTGAAGCTGCGGGGAAGCAAAAAGTGGAGAAGCTTTGTGGAGCTTGTCCGGAGCCGTGGAGAACCGAGGCGACCGTCCCCAGCCTCGGGTGTGACGGGAAGGGTTCCCCGCGGTCTGCCGGGGCAGCGGAGCCGCAGCGGCCACCGCACCGGAGACACCCAACCGCGGTCCCCAAAACGCGTCCCTGGGACCCTCTAGGCGGGTTCAGGGCACTTGGAGAGTGGGAGCCCAGCTGCGGCATCCCCAGCCCCCGAGAGCTCGGTACACCGGGTCCGTCCGCCCCGCACCCTCCCGGGAAGCCCCCGCATTCCCATCCTCCCGGAATCCCCCAATTCTCCGCCCTTGGCCGGCTCGGCAGTCCTGGGACATACCGGAAAACCCCCGCCTCTCCAGCACCCGGGACGCCCCAGCAGCACCGGGATGCTCGGCTCTCCCGGGCCTCCAGGAGCACCGGCAGCCACAGCGCCCGGTGGCCCCGGTATCCCCCAGCCCCCGCATCACCCCCGCCCGGTGGTCCCGGCACCGCCCGGCCCCCGCCGCGGCTCACCCGGTTCTTGACTTCGGCGGAGAGGCCGTAGGACGGGCCCTTGTTGAACTGGGAGCTGCTCATGGCGGGGAACAGAGCCGGTACCGGAGCGGGGAGCGGGCAATGGGCCGGTACCGGAGCGGGCTCTGGCGGGGCGGGGGCGGGTCGGGCCCGGCCCCCTCCGCGTTGATTGGACGGGGAAAAATGTCCAAATTAGGGCAGGAGCGGCCGGATCGAGGGGAGGGTCCCGAACCCCGACATCGCCGCTCGGGGAGCACCGGGAGGCACCGGGAGTACGGGGTGCCCGGGGCCGGAACTTGAACTGTACCGGGCACACGCGTGTGTGTGCCCACGGGCACGGGTTGTGCGGGCACACACACCACCCACACCCACACACACACCCACGCACCCCCCGGCCCACGGGCGCTACCCGCACACGCACACGCACATTCACTCAAACATCCCCACGCACCTGCCCGCGCACGCCCACGGTCACGCACACACGCAGGACACGCGTACACCTTCCATCGTCCCGCACCCACCCCCGACCGCGTCCCGTTCCCCTCCGCCGTGTCCCCACAGGACCCGCGAGTCCCACGCGAGATGGCCCGGGTGGGTCCGGTCCGGTCCGGCCCCGCGGGGAGGTCCCGGGATGAAGATGGGCGGGGAGGGGATCGCCACCATCACCCCCCGATGCCCGTGGGCAGAGCCGGGGGTCCCAGCCGGGGGTCCCAGCGCCCCGAGGGCCCGGCCCGGCTCTCTGCAGGGTTTATCCGACGTGCCCCGGATAGTCCCGTTGTGAGGCCGTGATGCCCCGTGGGTGGGAGAGTCACGGGTGGGACTGTGAGTGCACAGAGCCGCTGAGGACAGGGGGCAGGGCTGTGACCCCAGAGGGCCGGTCCCGGCACCGACACCGACACCGAGCCCGCGGAAGGGCAGAGCCGGGAACATCCCACAAGTGGGAGCCCAGAGAACCCCATCCCAAGAATCCCATCCCAAGAACCCCATCCCAAGAACCCCATCCCAAGAAGCCCATCCCAAGAAGCCCATCCCAAGAACCCCACACCCGGGGCCTTCAGAGGGATGGAGCTCATCATCCCTGGACGGATGGACGCCCCCAAACAGGGTGACCTCCCAAGAGGGCGAGTTCACCCTACAAACCCCGCACTGCAGCCTTGAAACCCTCTGAAAACCCCATCAGCGCGGGGGTCCCGCTGCCCTCCGGGACCCCACAAGGTGCCCCTGGCCCCGGCCTCGCCCCTGGGTGCGCGTTCGGCTTTTCCTGTTTCAGGTCGGGCTGCGAAGGCGATGAGGAAACGAGGCGGCGTCACACGCGCCCTCCGCCACTGCGCCCCGCGAATGTGACCGGGAGGAACCGGCACGGCGGCCGGGCCGAGCGAGGGGCTGCGGGCAGCGGCTCGGCCCCCCGGGAACGATGTTCTCCCGGAAGAAGCGGGAGCTGATAAAAACCCCCTCCATCTCCAAGAAGAGCCGGGCGGGCAGCCCCGTCCCGCAGACGCTGCCGGTGAGTGCCACCCCCGCAGCCCTGGCACGGTTGGGGGTTTTGGGGCAGCAGCACCCACGGAGCCACAGCTTGGCAATGGATACGTCCAGCAGGTCTGGGAAGAGGAGGGAAACGAGGAATAAGCCTGCTCGCGGGGCTGTGCGGGTGGAATTTTGCCCCTGATGGAGGGGACGGAGCAGCCGCCGAGGGAGGCGGGAGGGCAGGAAGGGACAGGGAGGAAATGGGGGGGATGTCGCCGAGGGTTTGGAAAGGCAGAGAGAGCCTCGCAGATCTCCCTGGGGAGATGGGAGCGGGACAACCGCAGGCTCGGCCAGCCCCGGTACCTCGGCTGTGCCAGATATTTTATTTATCGACGTGTGGAACCCCCCACCCCCGCCCCCGGTACCGGGCAGGAGGAACCGCTGCCCGCCGGGGCTCCCCGGCGCACCCCGCACCGCCCGCCCCGCGCCTGCGCCCCACTCCCGGTGCGGGAGGCGACACCGGGCTGGCACCATGTCCCCGACGGCGACCCGCAGCCCACCCGCGGCTACCTAACAGGGGACCCCCTGTCCCCCATCCCCGTCCCGCCTCCCCGGAGAGGGGCCCGCGGGTGGCCGCCAGCGGGATGCTCGGTCGGGCTGCGGGCAGGAACAGCTACAGCCCCTCGGCGGCGGCGGGCAGAGCCCACCCGCCCCAGCGCTGCCTGGACTCGCTGCCCCGCACGCCCGCCGTGAGGCTGACGGTACGGCCGGGGCACCCCGGGGCTCCGGAGGGAGGGACGGGATAGGGCTGGGCTGTGGTCCCAAGGCGTTTTTGGGGCGGAGGTCTTGCTGCCTCCTTGCAGCCCCGTGGTGGTCTGGCCGCCCGAATGGGGATGGGGTTCCCCGTTCGCCATCGCCCCCGTTCGCCTCGTGCTCTCGGTGCTCCGTGTCCGCCCCGCCGGTGCCAAAAGCGCTTCCGGCGGCGCCCGGCCAGGGATGCTCGGAGCCCGCGCGCTCGTGTCAAACCGGGTGCCGGGGGTCACCGGTGGGAGCTGCTGAGGGGCTGCAGGGTCCCCTGGCCATGCCCGAGGACTCTCACTTGGATGTGTGGCTCTCAAGCCATGACAGCTCTGAGCAGCGCCGGTACCAGCCTCTCCCTCAGTGCAATTTTACCCCGAGAAATTTGGGGCTTCCTCCATCTGTAAAATACCTGCAAAGCCCAAACAATAGCCTGGGAGGTGTCCCTGTCTCTGCCTCCTTCCCCACAGCTGAAAAAGAGGAAGAGATACGTGGGTGGATCCTGCTGCCATTTTGCTCTTTGGGGGTCCCCAACCCCCTGGGGTGGGCAGCCCCATCATGGTGGGCGCTGGGGTGGACGAGCAGCGTCACCCACACTATCACTGTGTGCACCTCATGACAAACATGGGCCCAGAAGAGCTGGCAGGGACTGATGGGGGCAGCCAGGCAAGTGCCCAGACACCGCCCAGTCTCCCGTGACAGTCCCAAGGAGTATCCCTGCCTGGGGAAACTGAGGCACAAACAGCCGCAGGGTCTGGCAGTGGTTACCCCAAGGCGACAGCTTGTTCCCCAGGATGGTGGCGTGTGGTGCTTCCCTCCATGGGGTCCCCACCACGCTGGCCGTGTCCTCACGCTCCCCCTTGGTCCCCAGGACCTGTCCCGCAAGGATTGCCTGGAGGCTCTGGGCTCTGGCACGGGGGAGCTGCCCCCGGGCAGTGCCAAGCTCAGCAGCAGCCCTGGCACCGTGGGCACCCTGAAGCGCCCCACCAGCCTGAGCCGCCATGCCAGCGCTGCCAGCTTCTCCCTGCCCGCGGCCCCCCGCGCTGCACCCAAGGGCCACAAGAGCCCCATGTCCCACAGCCCCATGGAGGGCGCCGAGGGTCCCTTCATCGACCCCGAGGACATCTCCCAGCTGCTGGCGGACGTCGCCCGCTTCGCCGATGCCCTGGAGAAGCTGCGGGACGTGGTGCTGCGCGATGGTGAGTGCCAAACACCCGCACCACAGCGCCCTGGCACGGACCCACCCACGGGTGGGGGGACCCTGGCTGGGCCAGAAGGTGCCGGGGCAACTGGAGATCTGTGCAGCTGCAGCCAGAGGTGCTGGGGGAGTGTAACTGGGAGCCAGAGGTGCTGGGGGAGTGCAGCTCAGAGCCAGAGGTGCTGGGGGAGTGTAACTGGGAGCCAGAGGTGCTGGGGGACTGTAACTCAGAGCCAGAGGTGCTGGGTGACTATAACTCACAGCCAGAGGTGCTGGGTGGGTGTAACTCACAGCCAGAGGTGCTGGGGGAGTGTAACTCAGAGCCAGAGGTGCTGGGTGAGTGTAACTCAGAGCCAGAGGTGCTGGGGGAGTGTAACTGGGAGCCAGAGGTGCTGGGGAGTGTAACTGGTACCCAGAGGTGCTGGGTGAGTGCAGCTCAGAGCCAGAGGTGCTGGGGGAGTGTAACTGGGAGCCAGAGGTGCTGGGGGAGTGTAACTCAGAGCCAGAGGTGCTGGGGAGTGTAACTCACAGCCAGAGGTGCTGGGTGAGTGTAACTCACAGCCAGAGGTGCTGGGTGAGTGCAGCTCAGAGCCAGAGGTGCTGGGGGAGTGTAACTGGGACCCAGAGGTGCTGGGGAGTGTAACTCAGACCCAGAGGTGCTGTGTGAGTGTAACTCAGAGCCAGAGGTGCTGGGGGAGTGTAACTGGGACCCAGAGGTGCTGGGGGAGTGTAACTCACAGCCAGAGGTGCTGGGTGAGTGTAGCTCAGAGCCAGGATAACGTGGCTTCCTGCCTGAGCTATTTTCATCTGCCTGTTTTCCTGTTTACAGCACAGCGGTGCCAGCCGCCCGCCAGGGCCCCCAGGCCCCCATGGGGTGCTGGGCACGGCCCCCCCAGCCCATCAGGGTGGCCAGAAGGAGGGTCTGGGTGGTCTGCAGGCTCACCAGCAGCTCTCCTTGCCCAAGGGGTCCCGTGGTCTGGGGGCATGTGGCACCCCATTGTCAGTCCTGGTTTGGCAGTAACTCCTTTCCAGCCCTGAGCTGGGGGCTGGGGTGCAGAGGGGTCTTTGCCTGGCTGGGCAGTGGGTGCTGACCCCCCCATCCCAGCACTTCCCTGAGGGGGTTCCTCACTTCCTAACCAGGCTGCCAGTCCCCAGCCCTAGACCTGCACTGGGGGTCCTGGCCAGACCCCTGGGCTGGCAACGAGCCCACGGAAGGGAGGGTGCTGGGGGGAACCTGTGGGGTGCAGCAAGCCTGGCTGGACCAGGCCAACCCCTCCTGGCTGGGAGCATCCATCCGGCAGGAGGGAGGGAAGGAAACAGAGGAAATTCCCAAACTGCTTTCAAGGGGAAAAGTTCCTATGGAGGAAAAAACGCTTCAAAGGTCAGACTGCTCCCTGGCCAGGAGCAGGCTGGGCAGGAGACACACGGCCACGGCTGTGGAGAGGTGCTGGACATGCAGGATGTGGCTGTGCCAGTCCTGGGAAGCCCCGAGGCTGATTTGCTGCATGGTCTGGGAGATGGCAGGTCCCTGTCTTGGGAGGTAAACAGGGCAGGGACACGGGACAAGGATGCAGCATCTCAGCCCCCATCTCTTGCAGAGCCTAAGGAGCAGCAGCGGCCGCTGGCCCACGAGTGCCTGGGTGAAACCCTCCGTGTCCTGCGCCAGGTGATCAATAAGTACCCACTGCTCAACACCCTGGAGACCCTGACGGCCGCTGGGACCCTCATCTCCAAAGTCAAGGGTGAGGCAGTGGTGCTGGGAGCTCTGTCCCACTCCCCTCCCGCCCCACAGTGAGCTGGGGGGGAATTTGGGAGCCCCTGAAGGGGCTGCCAGGAGTGGAGTTGCCCCAAAAGCATCGTCTGCCTCTCGGTGTGATTCAGCTTTAAGGATGAGGCAGTGTCAGAAATGACAGATCCTGCCTGGGGCTTTCCAGGCACAGCCACAGCAAAACCACTGAAATGATCAGATCCTGCTCCTGGCAGCCTCTCGTGTTTATGGAGAGGGGTCTGGGAGGTCAGATCCCAGCTGGGCACCACTTCCTGCTGCTCTCAGCCATGGGAGGGGGCAGCTGCACCTACCACAGGCACAGCACAACCTCCTGAGCCACCCGTGGCTTCCTGGACACCCAACAGCAACCGCAGGGGACAGGACGGCAGGAGGGCTTCCATGGGCTCGGAGCAGACCCCTCCCCACCCCAAGGGGCTGCCCAGGAGCTCTGGTTGCTGGTGTCTCGTGGTGTGGGAGCCTGCCAAGCACTGTCAGCCCCAGTTCCTGCTGCTGGTGGTGGTTCCTCATTTGGCTGCGGGCAAGAGCCCTCCTGGAGGAGTTCATCCTGCCTGGAGAGGGGCCTGGAGGAGCCATGAGGCAGGGCAGGCAGTGGAACAAGTCCAGCAGAGCTTTTCCAGCAGCCCCGAGTAACGGGAATAAACAGAAACATGAGCCAAGAGATGCTGTCAGGGACGTCAGTCCTGGGAAGAAGGAGAGGGAAACTACCATGCTGGAAAAATCCATTGTCCAGAGGGATGATCCTCCCCACTGCTCCCTTGATTCACCCCAGCCCCAAAGCCCTCTCTGGCAGGTCCTTCTGCTGAGGCAGAGACGGGTGCTTGTGGCAACAGGGCTTCCATATTTCCCCACCTCCAGGTTTCCACTATGAATCCAACAACGAGGCGGACAAGAGGGAGTTCGAGAAGGCGGTGGAGACCATCGCCGTGGCCTTCAGCAGCACGTAAGGGGTTTGAGCAGCCGTGCCCTGGAGACAGCCCGTGCCACCGTGCTGAATCCAGCCCTGCTCCTCTCCCCACAGGGTGTCCGAGTTCCTCATGGGGGAGGTGGACAGCAGCACCATCCTCTCTGTCCCACCCAGCGACCAGAACCAGGTGAGTGATGCCCGGGTACCTGGATGCTCCTGCCATGTGGGGCTGGGGATCACCCAGGGCTGCTCCCCTGAGCTCTGGTGTGAGCCCAGGGCAGGTGTTGCTCCAGTGGTGCTTCCATCAGCTCCCGGGCACAGCCTGAGCACAGCTGACTTCCAGCAGTGGCAAAAAGGCTCCGGTAGCTCCGGCTTCCATCCATCTGGCCAGCCCCTCAGCTGCTCCCCATCCTCTTGGCTGACCAGTCCCTCTTCTTTCCCAATTCCCAAAGACTATGGAGAGCCTCTACGGGGGGGTTCCTGGGCCTAGAGGAGATGGAGTGCCCTCAGGCATGGACAGCTACGACGCAGGTGAGCAGGATGAGTTTGGGTGCAGGGTTTGGGGTCCGTGCAGGAACCAGCACCTTCCCCATCGGTGCTGCCCTCCCGAGTCACGCCTGGCTCCTCAGCTGGGGAAAGGCAGCAGAGCTGGGGGCACCAGGGCTGTTACAGAGCTGGGGGCACCAGGGCTGGCACAGAGCTGGGGGCACCAGGGCTGGCACAGAGCTGGGGGCACCAGGGCTGGCACAGAGCTGGGGGCACTGGCAGCTCCCAGAGTGAGCTCAGGGAGTGCCCATCCCTCCCCAGCCCGCCCCCCGGCCGAAGCAGTGGATGTGATGCTGCAGCGCTGCGAGGGCGGCGTGGATGCTGCCCTGCAGTACGCCAAAACCATCTCCAAGTACATGAAGGACCTGATCGGATACCTGGAGAAAAAGACCACGCTGGGTGAGTGGGGGGAAGGCAGGTGGGTCTCTTCTGGAGCAGGTCTGAGCCACAGGACAGCTTGAGGTCCCTTCTGGAGGAGGCTGATGCTGCTGGGGCAGTGGGAACCTCACCCCTCCACCGCTGATTGATTTTTCAAAAGGAGATCGGGTTCCACCGGGGAAATCCCAGTGTCTCGTGTGTCTTTTCACTTTCAACCTTTTCCTCCCAGAGATGGACTTTGCCAAAGGGCTCCAGAAGTTGGCAAACAGCTGCAAGCAAACCATCAGCCAGGAGGTGAGTTCCCAAGTCCCTGAAGGCCCCAGTGCCAGGCAGGATTGGGAGCCAGCAGCCCTGGAGAGCCTATTCCATGTGCCCCAGCTCAGGAGGACATGGGGGCAGCTCTTTGGAGAAATTCAGGATGGGGCTTTTACCAGCAGTCACCAGCCTTACCTTGCCTGTGGCTCTTCCTCCCCAAAGGACGCATCTCCTTGGGCTCACGCTGGTGCTGGGGCTCAGGGAAATGTGTTTTTCTTCTCCCCAGACCAGCATGGTGCTGGGGCTCAGGGAAATGTGTTTTTCTTCTCCCCAGACCAGCATGGTGCTGGGGCTCAGGGAGATGTGTTCTTCTTCTCCCCAGACCAGCATGGTGCTGGGGCTCAGGGAAATGTGTTTTTCTTCTCCCCAGACCAGCATGCCTTTGCTGTCCATCTATCTGCTGGCCCTGGAGCAGGACATGGAGCACGGGATCTCAGTTGTGCAGGCAGCCAACACCCTGCAGCAGCAAACCTTCCTGCCGGTGAGGGGACAGCCGGTTCCTGGGGCTGGAGGTCCTGGTGTTGCAGAGGAAGCTCTTCCTTAGCTCAATCCAGAGGGAACCTGCATCCAGTACTTGCCAGGCTGTAGATTTTCATCCCTGGCACAAAGCAGTGCCTGTCACCTGTCCCAGGAGTGACAGTGACCACCACAGGCTGCTCCTCCGTGCAAAGTTTTGGCGTGAGGGCAGAGCAGGAGTGCTCAGCTCAGGTGGTCACTGTGCTGTTCCTCCCTCCCTCCTCACACAGCCGCTGGTGGCCAGACGCCTGGAGCATGAGAAACGCAGGAAGGAGATCAAGGAGCAGTGGCACCGGGCGCAGAGGAAACTGGTGAGTGACCGGCTTTGTGTTCCCAATCCCAGCCTGGAGCAGCTCTGAGGAGCGACCCTGCCCCTCTCCAGCAGTGTTGGGTGCCTCTGCTGTGCCTGGCAGAAGCTGGTGACCCTCCTTGCCGGGCTCCATCCTCACCCTGCCTCTCCTGGCAGCAAGAGGCGGAGGGGAACCTGCGCAAGGCCAAGCAGACGTACATGCAGCGCAGCGAGGAGCACGACAAGGCCAAGTACGTGGCGGTGAAGGCAGAGGAGGAGCAGCAAAGCACCACCAGCAGCATCACCACCAAAACCCTGGACAAGAAGAGGCGGCTGGAAGAGGAAGCCAAGAATAAGGTAAGAGGGTGGCAGCTCTGGAGGAGCCTCCTTGCTCCTGCTGTCCCCTGAGCCACGTGGGGTGAACTGATCCTCAGGAATGCCTGGATGTGTCGGAATCTGAGGTATTGATGATTCTGAGATTGTAGAAAGTCTCTGTCTGTCAGCCCCACTGCCAAAGAAGAAGTTGCAATTAATCTCTGCAGGTTTCAAGGTTGTTTATTCTGTTTATCTCTACCATGTTCTGCTGCCCTGCCGCAGCTCTGTCCTGCAGGGCAGCGTGTGGGGCTCTGCCCTCAGTGGGATGTTACAAACATTAAATACCACAAACTACCTGTGCTGGATTTACAATAACGTGCCAATATCTGTCACCTACGTTGGACAGTGTGTCCCCAGCCTGAACCAACAGAAAAATGCCAACACCACAGTGAAACATGGAGGGCATGAAGAAGGAGAAAAAGGACAAGACACACCCAATTTCCTCCTCTTGTCCCTTTGAACCCCTTATCTAGAATCCTAAAATTTTACTTTTGCACCTGTGCCACACTTAATTATTACTGATATCAAACCCTCAGAGCTGGTAATTCATGCTGTAAGATTGAAAACTCTTTTCCGTGGACAGAGATCACAGGCAGTGTCTCTGGGGGCTCTGTCCAGGGGGGTTCCTGACCCCTGCCAGGGTCCCAGGGCAGCCAGAGGGAAGCTCTGGATTCCCACATGAATGGACAAGGTGCAAGGGGCTGTTCTCATTCTCCTCACCTCTGAGCTTTCCCCATCCCTTGCTCTCCCTCTCGCAGGCAGAAGAGGCCATGGCCACCTATCGCACCTGCGTGGCCGACGCGAACACGCAGAAGCAGGAGCTGGAGGACACCAAGGTGAACTCGCTGCGGCAGATCCACGAAGTGATCAAACAGACTGACCAGGTCATCAAGTCGGTGAGTGGGGCTGGGCTGGGGTGTGCCCAGGGCAGGAGGTGACCGTGCCCTGCTCTGGAGAGCTCCGAGCTGCCTTCCAGCAGAGCCGCCCCTATTCCAGAGCGTGGAATTCCCTCCCCTATTCCCTCTCCCTAACCCACCTAACCCGGAGCCCGCCACGCTCACCCCTGTCCCTCTCCACATCACTTTTAGGCCACCATCTCCTTCTACCAGCTGATGCACATGCAGACAGCGCCGCTGCCCGTGAATTTCCAGACGCTGTGCGAGAGCAGCAAGCTGTACGACCCGGGCCAGCAGTACGCCTCGCACGTGCGGCAGCTGCAGCGCGGCGACGAGCCCGACGTCCAGTACGACTTCGAGCCCTACGTGCCCCACAGCGCCTGGTAAGAGAGGAGAGGCTCCCCATGGCCTGTTGGACGAGTCACCAACGGGACGGGACTGCTGTGAACGTGCCCTGAGCTGTTTGTTTGTTAGCATCAGTCTCATGGCGGGGTTGTGACAATGGGAAGGTGCCAGCAGGTCACATCTAGGTAACAGACTTATGTGAGAACCCCGGGGTTGGTTCAGGGTCTCGTGTGGTGGTAAAGTCTCTCCTCCAACCTTTGCTTCCAAAGAAAACTCAGCAGCCTCTGTTGTTCGGTCTCAAGGCAGTTTATTGCAAGTTATCTAAAAGATTGTCTTCTCTGGCTGCTGTGGTTTGCTCAGCAGCTCAGGCAGAGGCACACACACACCCTGACACCCTCACTGCCTGCTGTCTTCTTCTCTCTCCCCTCCCAGGGCTGCTGCTATCTTTTATATGATATATTACGTATTATATGTTTACAGTTTTCCCCCAATACCTACTACCTATGTAACAATGTGCTTTTCCACTCTAAACCAATCTGTGAGTGCCAACATCACCAAGAACATGGAGGTAAGGAAGAAGAAGGAGGAAGAACAGGATCAGGCCCACTTTCCTCCATCTTAGAAGCTCTGACCCCCATGTACAAAGTAAAAACCCCCCTGTACAGGTGTTAAAACCCCCCTGTACAATACTAAAAAATTTTCCCCTCTATTTTGTAACTACTTCTACTATACCTTCTAACCCTTTGTGACCACTTGTTCCACCTTCAAAGTTGGTAACTCATTCAATGGCTCAAACTCAAAATCACAGCTGCTTCCAGCTGCCTGCCAGGGTCTAAAATGCTTCTGACCAAGGCCTGGAACCTCTGAAAATGTCTGAGGGACATTTTGAGTTCCAGCAAACTTACTTTATAAACTTTTTGACCAGTCACACAAAGTAAAAGCATATTGACAGTAGTTCTAGCTAATCACTATAAGCACATGTACCTTTAGTTAAAACAATGCTTGCTTATTTAGAATATAATACTTGCTTGTAAGCCTCAAGATATAATACACAGAACTCCATTATTAAGCTTAGACCTTCCTAATATCTCACCAGAGATACTTTTCTGCAACTCAGGAATTTATTCTACCCGAGCGTTAATACACAGACTATTGTTTTATTTGTCCTTTCTTTCTACATCTTGTATACTTTTTCTGCTGACAAATCTTATCGCTACTGCTTAGCTCTAATCACCATCCTGCTGCCTCTGAGGCTTTTTGCAATGTGCCCCAAACCCTCTGATTTTAAGGAATCCCACAGCTTCCTTCCCACTTCAGCCCTGGTGCCTTGTTTTTTCCTCCTGCAGGAGGCAGGATGCTTTCAGTATTCCTGAAGGCAGCTCCTGCTGGGAACGCTGGGGTTGGACCAGCAGGGAGTTGCTCTCTTATCCTTCAATTCAGCCTAGATGAGACGGGCTGTTTAGTGTTTAAGAGTCTGTGATTCCCTGGGCTGGTGGGTGGCAGCCATGGATAAAGTCTCCAAGTGTCCCTCCTTCCCGTCCACATTCCCTTTTCCCCTCCAGGTCTCCCTTTACGCAGCCACACAAGGGCAGCTTCAGCGCCAGTGAGTTCTCCAGCGGTGCAGAGGGGGCTGGGGCTGGCTCGGAGGGAGCAGCAGGAGCCAAGGAGTCGCCAAGTGGGGCCGAGCGAAGAGGTGAGTCTGGAGCCCCAGAGCCCTCCCACGTCCCCCAGGCAGGAGCAGAGTGGCACCAGGGTATGAGGGGCTTTGCTGGCAGCAGCAGGACGAGCTGGGAGCCTCCTCCTGAAGGACACCAAATCAGATCTCTGGCATTTTGCTCCCTAAGGAACCATCTTCCCATCTCCCCTTTCCTTTCTGAGTGTCACTGGAAGCGCTAAGCCCCATCAGCAGCTCCCCCAGTCATCCCAGTTTCTCCCAGCATCAGGCTGTTCTCCAGCCATTCCCTCCCAAACACAGACACAGCCCCAACAGTCTGTGTGTTCTCTCTGCAGGTGGGAGGGGACACCAGGTGCATAAATCCTGGCCAACCTCTGTGGCTGATGCTGACAGCAGCCTGGATTCCAGTGCAGGTACATGTGGGAACAGCCCAGGAGCCCCTCCCAGCACAACCAGTCCAAACCCAGAGCTTCCCAGTTAGATGGGACCATCCCCTCTTTTACCTGCCCTGTGGGAACACTGCTGTGAATGACCGTGCTGATCCCAGTCTCCAGTGGGATGGGGTGGCATTGTAAATGTGGGTGAACCCAATGGAAGAAATTACAATGTCTGACTCAATTCAGAAGGCTGAATTATTTCTTTATTATAACTATGCTAAAATACATTAATATACTGTATAAAAGGAGGATACTAAAACTCCATACTACTTTCTTTGACTAACTCTCACACAACTTGTGACCCTCTCCAAGAGCCCAGCCCCAGGTGGGTTGGATTGGGTTGGATTGGGTTGGATTGAGTTGGATTGACCATCAGGCTCAAACAATCCTCACCAGAATCTAATCAAGCACTCACTCCAGGTAAACAATTCTCCAAACACATTCCGCATAAGGAAAACAAAGAGCAAAACCAAAAATTGTTTTCTCTTTCATTTCTCTCTGTGTACCTCTATGAAAAATCCTGACAGGATAGAGAAATGTGCTGCCACAGGGTGGGATGGGTGAGCTCTCGGGGCAGAAGCAGCTTTGCAGGTGATTTTGCTCTGTGGGTTTTCCTCGCACAGGTGAATTCAGCCGCAAGCTCCAGCGGCTCTCATCCAACGGCACCGCGTCCTCCAGCGAGGAGCTGGAGGAGAAGGACGGGACCCCCACTCCCTTCGAGCAGAGTAGGTGACAGGGTGGGAGGTGACAGCGCTGCTGCCACGTTCCCCAGCACGGCAGAGCTCCCTGAGGGCTGCTTTTCCCAAATTCAGCAGTTCTGCGTGGTGTCCCCAGCAGCCCTGCCTGTCCTCGGGCCGGTGACAGTGACAGTCCTGCTCCCATTTCCTTCTCTGTAGGCATCAACGGGATCTCCCCGGAGCTGGCAGCTCCCACAGGGCCCTTCAGGAACGTTGGCTTGTCCAAGGCTGCCCAGACCCATCGGCTGAGGAAGCTCCGTGCCCCTTCCAAATGTCGGGAGTGCAACAGCTACGTGTACTTCCAGGGAGCCGAGTGCGAGGAGGTGAGTTGGGACAGCTGGGCTTGGAACCCAGCTCTGACCATGCTCAGCAGGACATTTCTCCTGTGGGAAGGTGGAAAACGGTGCTTTCCTTCGGTGCTGCAGCATCCCCAGGGCATTTTCCTGTCTCTCAGCGTGCTCTGGGCAGTGCCTGGTGTCTCTGTTGGTGCCCCCCACCTCCACGCGTTCCCCTCTCTCTTCCAGTGCTACCTGGCCTGCCACAAGAAGTGCCTGGAGACTTTGGCCATCCAGTGTGGGCACAAGAAGCTCCAGGGGAAGCTGCAGCTTTTTGGGCAGGACTTCACCAAGGCGTCTCGGGCCAGCCCAGATGGGATCCCCTTCGTCGTCAAGAAATGCATTTCAGAGATTGAGAAACGGGCCCTGAAAACGAAGGTGAGTGACACTCCCCCCTCCTCCTCCTCAGCTGGCTGAGCCACAGGCCCTTGGAAGGATCCTCTGGAAAACCAACAGGCTCAATGTCAGATTTCCACAGGGCAAGGAGCCAGAGGTGAGCTTGGCCCAGATAACCCAAACTCTGCCTTTGGAAAATCTCCTCTCCTGCCTCCTGCTTTCCTATGAAGCAGGAATGACTCAGCTGGAAGGAGATGTCCCAAAGTGACTTCCCAAAGGGATTTCCCAATCCAAAAGGAGAGGGTGGGAGCACACAGCAAACATGAAGAGGAACCTCTCCCCTCACTTCAGCTCCACTTTTCTCTCTTTCACAGGGCATTTACCGAGTTAACGGTGTCAAGACCCGTGTGGAGAAGCTTTGCCAGGCCTTTGAGAACGGGAAGGAGCTGGTGGAGCTGTCCCAGGCCTCCCCTCATGACATCAGCAACGTCCTGAAGCTCTACCTGAGACAGGTGAGGTGCTGAGGCCTCACGGCAGGGGAGGGAGGGAGGGGAGCCGGCCAGAGGAACCAACCTGGCAGGAGGAATTCTGCACGAATTTGGGAGGGAGGGAGGCTTGGCCTTAGAGATGGGGCCAGAGTGGCCCCCCCTGCTCATCCCACATGGCGTCACTGCGGTCACAGCCCCCGAACAGCGACGAGCCACAGCGCTGAACAAGGAACGCTCCACCCCGAAAATTGGGGAACTGGCTGCCCAAAAAGGGAAGGGGCCAGCAAAGGTCACCCTGCAGGGGCTGAGTCACGTCCCCATAGGGTGGGCTCTGACCCTGGAGTGGGCTTAGTGGGGTCTGTGCCTCTGAGGTCACCTTGAGGTGGGCTCAGTGGGTCTTTGCCCCTGGGATCACCCCAGGGTGGGCTCAGTGGGGTCTCTGCCCCTGGGATCACCCCGGGATGGGCTCAGTGGGGTCTTTGCCCCTGGGATCACCCCGAGGTGGGCTCAGCAGGGTTCCTGCCCCTGGGATCACACCAGGGTGGGTTTAGTGGGGTCTCTGCACCTTGGGGCACCTTGGAGTGAGCTCAGTGGGGTCTCTGCCCCTGGGATCACCCCGGGGTGGGCTCAGTGGGGTCTCTGCCCCTGGGGTCACCCCAGGGTGTGCTCAGCCCCAGCACCCCCACCCTGTACCCAAACTGTCGTTGCAAACAGCGTCACCCACATCCTCCAACAGCCACGACCGCAAGGCAGGAGCACGGCGGAAGCTGCTTCTCCCTTGCAGCAGCCGTGGGTTTTTAACTCTTTGTGCTGCTTTTTTTCTTTAACCCCTGCCCCCAGGTAGGGCAGCTCTGTGTTATCTCACAGGGAAAACCGTGTCCTTGGGCTCCTGCACATCAGAAGTCAAGGACTCTGAGCGGCTTCCATGGTTTCTCTAAAGTGAAACAGAGTGGAAAGAGAGGGGGAAATCGGTGCTGAGCCCCAGTCTGAGCCCTTGCTGCAGAGAAATTGGTTAAAGTCCTTCTATAAAGGGGTGGATGGAGGGAGCCCGCTCTGCTGTGATGCAGCCTGTCCCCAAAACATCTGTTAAGGCCGCTCTGAAAACATCCCCAGCCACGTGGAACACCCAGCAGGCAACACCAGCTCTTTCTGCTTCACACAAACTTCAAAGCAGAGTTTCCCTTGCCCAGCTCCACCTCTGCTGCAGGCTGTGCCCTGCACATCCTGTGGCCTTCACATCCTGCCTCCCTCACCCAGAACAACCCATCCCTGTCCTCTTCCCAGCCACTCCTTGTCCGCTGGGGAACCTCCAGCTGGGCCCACCCCAGCCAGGGATTTTCCAGGAAAAAAAGGGAATCCCCACACCTCAACCCAGCAGGGAACTCCCACGGGTGGATCAAACACTGCTTTTGGCTTGAACTTCACAAGTGCTCCTTGGCCAGGGCAAACGAGGCTCGATTAACACGCTCCGGGAAATGGATAAATAAATATCACCTCTGGGCAGAGGTTTGCAGCAGTGCAGGTCACAGATTCATGGAATTGATGGAAATGGATGTTAAAAGTGCTCTGAGCTCTCTTCAAGCTGGCCTCGAGCACTTCCAGGGATGTTCCCTCACTGTAGAAATGCCCCAGGCGTTGCCAGCTCAGCAGCTGGGCACGAGCCCAGATGTGGTGCAGGTGGGAGCTGCTCTGGGGAGTTGGGATCATCTCTTCTCTTCCCCCTGCAGCTGCCAGAGCCCCTGATGCCGTTCCGGCTGTACAACGAGCTGATGGGGCTGGCCAAGGAGAGCCTGCAGGGCGGCGAGGCCAAGGGCCGCAGCGGGAAGGGCGGCCCCGAGCTGGTGGACAGAGGAGCCGACACGGAGCAGGTGGTGCTGAGCCTGGTGCTGAAGCTGAGGGAGCTGCTGAAGGAGCTCCCTTGCGAGAACATGGCCACGCTCCAGTACCTCCTGCAGCACCTGAGGAGGTGAGAGGGGCATGGCCAGAGCCTGTGTGGCTGCTGGGCACCTTCCCTTTGTCCCCTGGGCTGGGGAGGTGGGTGCAGATCCTCACCAGAGTCAGGAGGAAGGTCCGGGACGGAACCCTGGCCTGGTTCAGGGGCTCCGTGTGGTGGAAAACTCCTTCCTCCAAGCCAAGCTTCCAAAGAAAGGCTCAGCAGTCTCTGTTGTCCGGTCTCAAGGCAGTTTATTGCAAGTTATCTAAAAGATTTTCTCCTTGGGCTGCTGTGGTTTGCTCACAGCTCAGGCAGAGGCACACACACACCCTGACATCCTCTCTGACTCCCGACTGCTTCTTCTCTCCCTGCCCAGGGCTGTGCTGGCTTTTATATGGTACATTACGTGTTACATGGGTACAGTTTGTCCCCAATGCCCATTACCTATATTAAATGGTGTTTTCTATCTTTTATATGGTACATTACGTGTTACATGTTTCAGTTTTTCCCCAATCCTATTACCTATATTAAATGGTGATTTTCTACTCTAAACCAATCTGTGAGTGCCAACATCATCAAGAACATGGAGGTGAGGAAGAAGAAAGAGGGAGGACAGGACAGGCCCAGATCCCTCCATCTTAAAACCTCTGACCCCCATGTACAGAACAAAAAACCCCCTGTACAGCACTCAAAAATTCTTCCCTCTACTTTGTGACTACTTCTACTATAATATCTAAACTTTTGTGACTTCTTGTTCTTCCTGCAAGGTTGGTAAATCATTCCATGGCTCAAACCCAAAATCACAGCTGTTTCCAGCTGCCTGCCAGGGTCTCAAATGCTTCTGACCTGGGCCTGGAACCTCCAAAAATGTCTGAGGGACATTTTAAGTTCCAACAGGTCCGTGGTTGCAGCTGCTTCTCTGTCCGTCCTGAGGTTCAAGTGCTCCAGCCCGGCATCTCCCCCAGCCCTGCCCATCCACTCCTCTCCCTCCTTGCCCTCACAAGCTGTTCCTCCCCCTCCCACCCAGGATCATGGAAGTGGAACAGGACAACAAGATGACCTCAGGCAACCTGGGCATCGTCTTTGGGCCGACGCTGATGCGCCCCAGGCCCACGGATGCCACCATTTCCTTGTCCTCGCTGGTGGATTATCCCCACCAAGCTCGGATCATTGAGGCACTCATCATCTTCTACCCCACCATCTTTGAGCACAAGGACGTGGCAGCGGCCGAGCCCGGCAGACGCGGCTCGGGCGCCGCAGAGGAGGCGGCCAGCGGTGCTGAGCAGGTGGGAATCCCCCGGGGAAGGGAGATCCTCAGATGTCCCATGAAGCTCCGTGCCCTCACCACCACCCCTGTTCCCTCCCAGGTCCATGCAGGCTCCCAGCCTGTGGCTCCTCTTGGCACCAGCCCCTACCTGGAGCTGCCCTCGGAGAAGGGGGATTTGGCTTTCAGCGCCGACTCGCTCGCAGGTCAGTGAGAGGCGCTGGGGGTTCCCGGTGGGAGCAGCTCCCTTGGGTGGCAGGGAGGGCACACAGACCATCCCCTGCCCCAGGGACCCCGGGTTTGCTGCAGAAGTTCCTGCTGATGCCGGGTGCTGGGCTGGAGGGTGGCACAGAACTCCTGTGTCCCACAGAGTCCGGCGACCGCTCCGTGGACTCCGACTCGGAGCTGGAGGACGGCGCGGAGCCCCGGGCACGCCTGGCCAAGCAGGGCAGCGAGACCAGCACGGAAGAGGTGAATTTCTGTGACGAGGGCAGCGAGGGGCCCTGCATGGGCCAGTCAGACGCAGAGGGCTCTGCTCCTCGCTGCTGCAGCCCTGGGGACGAGCAGAGCGATGTGGAGGAACACCCCGAGAGCCGCAGCCCTGGCACCCCCAGGGACGCCACAAACCAGCCCAAGCTGCAGCCCCGGCTCATCTGAGCCACCACAGACACTGGGATGGACAAAGGGGCAAACCCCCATGGCTGGCCAGATGCTGGAAACTGGAATGGAGGGGTGGCAGGGACATGTGGCAGCCCGGGGGGGTTTGGTGTGTCAGCTGCAGGTGAGTCCTGGCTGATTCCTGGCTGGAGTTTTCACACAAAACCCCTCAGTGCCCGGCCAGGGAACGGGGTCACAGCCTGCTGGGACCCCTGGCTCAGCTGGGACCATGAAGGACCTTGCCTGGGTTTGGGCAAACCCTCTGCTTGTTCAGGACTGGGAAAGCACCCGGGGCTTTGCCTGTGCCAGGTGTTTTATTTTTGTTGTGCTCCTGAATCCCTGAATCCCACACCTGTGCTGCAAGATTGAGGTTGGCTGAGTCAAAGGACCTGATGGCTGAGGGTGGAAGGGAGCCAGGGCTTCCAGGAGTGACATGGAACAACAATCACTCGAGATGGGCAGGAGAATGACACCACAGGACAGCTGGGACTGAGGGCAGCTCCCTGGGACAGCTGCAGCAGTGCCTGGGTTGGGGTGAAGCCCCTGCACCATCTCACCCTGAGCCAGGCTTGGCTTTGGGGCTGTGCCACCTGCCAGGATCTCAGGGGATGTCCCTCACTGACACCTGACTGAACGAGGGCTCAGGATGGATTTCCTGCCCCAAAACCTCAGCACCGTGGCCCAGCTGATGGCATCTTCATTCCTGCTTGGATTGACAGGCATTTGGATTGGTGGGCACGTCCCTCCTTGGCAGGAGACATGCAAAGAGTTACCACAGGCTGTGGTTTGCTTGTACAGTCATTTTATCTCCAAAAAGCTATGCTGCAAGTCCAGGACTAACTCCCTCTGCTCATGCTTCCTTTTCTGTAAAGGTATGAATCAACCCTTCAACATGACTCCACTACCTCTGCTGGCAAAGGGACTAAACCCAAAGTGGTTTTAGGGGTTTTTTTAAAGCAATGAGACTTTTCCTGCACTGAGGCACAGAGAAACAAGTTGAGTTTTAGCTTGGAATGAGCTGAGAGCCTTTTCCTTCATTCTCCTGCTTTGGGAGACAGAGCAGGTGGTGTTGGAGGGGGTCTCAGACCCTTGGTACTCCAGAACCAGGCAATGGACAGGAGGTTTGAGCCCTCCGAGGTCGATGGAGACCCCATCTCAGCAAAGGTACATAAACCCAGCTCAACTCACAGGTTGGAACTGAGCCAGAGAAGAGCTGGAGAGCCACAGGATTTGTTGTGCCCTGCCACTCCTCCACAGCTAGCTGGATTTTCCCAGGGCAGCAGGAGGATGTGGGAATGCTGCAGCCACGGCGGTACCGCGTGCGTGTGAGGGTGGGTGAGGATGATGAGGGTGAGTGTGAGTGAGAGAAGGGGCTAAAGCTGTGCTTGAGCTGCCCACAGCAGCAGCTCCCTCCTGGTTGTGTTGATTCCATGTTTGTCCTGACAGGCCCGTGCTGCTGCACAATGCTGCCTTGCTGTGTTCACATTGATGAGCTTCCCAAAAAACCAATAAAACCAGCATGTTCTGACCCGTGTTTGTCCTGGGGATCAGGCTCTTCCAGGCTCCCCCTGCCACAAGAGGCCAAATCCGAGTGTTTCTGGCACAACAAGTGAAGTTTAAAGCCCCCCAGAGTCCTGGGATTCAAATGAGTGCAGCTGGGGGTGATGAACAACTCTCCATGGCAGCGTGTGAACACCGGGGTCCCAAACCAGGGACAGGGCAGGAGATCAAGGAAGGAATGAGGCAAATCTGAACTGCAGCTTCCAAACTGCCCAGGGCAGCTCCTAAAGGCTCTGCAGGGCCCAGCCACGATGCAAAGCCCTGGCAGGAAGAGATTCCAAATGTACTGAAAATGATGGGAACTTGCAGAGTCTCGAGGCTTTGCCACAGGGAGAGGCTGAGCAACAACGCTGCAGCACTGAGGGTACAAACCTTTATTTCAAACAAGAGCCCAGAAAACAGGGAAGGAAAAACCCTTCCCATTGATTTTCTCCCATCACTCCAAGTCTCCTGGATGGGACTGAGGGGTGACCACAAAGTCCAAGCTGGAAGATGTGGAATGAGGCCCAGAGAGGCCTCGTGGGAAGGGATTTGATTTCCCTGGCCATCCCTGAAATGCAGGAATCTCCGAGCATCCGTGAATTGCTGGTGGGAGCCACCCAGCTCCTCACACCTGGAAGAGAAGGAGGGGTGGGAATCACCTCCTGCCCCAGGTGCCTCTCAACACCCCAAATCCCAACGGGCACAGCCTGAGCAGAGGCACAGGTGACAGGGGAGCCTTTCCCTGCTCTCCCCAACAGCTCTCTCCGTGAGCCATTTAAAACTCTGAGACGTTTCCCTGGAAGCAGCTGCTTCACACTGACCTTGGAACAATCCCTGGCACTGCCCAGAGCCCCCCTGAGCAGAGGGTCCCCTCATCCTTACCCACTGTGTCACTGCACCAGTCTGTAGGTGATGTACCTGCCCGCAGTCTCGCTGGGCCTGATGATCTTCACTACCTGCAAGGCAGACATGAGCTCAGAACAGGAGGAGGAGGAGGAGGAGACACTTTTTCTGCTTCAAAATGCCCTCAAGGATCATCCCCTCCCTGCCTGAGCCTGCTCCTCTCACCTGGCCACGCTTTATCCCGAAGTAGCGGGCCACAGGGTCCCCAGCCTGGATCCGGGGGAGCTGGTTCTCCCTCAGCTTGCTGTGCTGGGAGTCAAGGAGAAGCTCTGCACACGCCGTGGGCTCTGGCAGCTCACAAAACAGAAATGAACCGTGGCAGGAGGAGGGGTTTTCAGCCTGAGTTTCATTGCAGGATGGAAGGACAGCAAAGGGACACTCAAAGGATACTATCGGGCCAGCAGCTCCGTTACCTCCTCCTTTGTCATAACCACGTGCTCTGGCACCAGCTGCAAACAGCAGAGAGGCTGAGATGGGGCAGCAATTGGGAGGGGAAAAAGGACAAGTGTGTCCCTCAGCCCAGCCAGGGAGCAGCAGAAGGAATCTGGGAGCAGCAGGAATGCAGCCAGCACGAGGGAGGGACCATCCTCCCACCGCTCACCTCATGCTCCGTGATGTTGATGAGAAGCTCCTGCTGCAGGAACTGCTCCAGGATGTATTTGGGAGCCATGTCAACCAGGGACTGGAAGGAAAAAGTTCTTTTCAGAGGTGGCTGGGGCAGCCCTGGCAGTAAAAAACGCTTTTCAGAGGTGGCTGGAGCAGCTCTGGTAGTAAAATACCCTTTTCAGAGGTGGCTGGAGCAGCTCTGGCAGTGAAAAACCTTTTCAGAGGTGGCTGGGGCAGCCCTGGCAGTGCTCAGAGCTGCTCCTGGGTAAGCCCCTGAGCTCACACAGCCACAGGAATGAGCACATGGATCTCCTGGAACAGGGAAACATCTCTTTTTCCCTCCCCCACCTCCTCACTGCCCGTGGGTCCTCAGCTGTGCCACTGCCACCAGGACCAGCTGCTCTGGATAAACACATCTGGGTGCTAAAAAATGAGCCTGTGCTAAGGTACGACAGGCTCTAGCAAAAGCTTTTCTCTGGGGGTCAATTCAGGGCTTTTATTTACCCACAGCAAGGCTAAGGAACAGACAAGGAAAACCTTCCCAGCTGCTGAGTGGGACACGGTGCTGTCCCCACAGACCTGCTTGGCCGAAGGGGTCATTCCCTGCTGCACCACGATCAGCGCCCGGGTGATGTTCTCCTCCTGCATGCGCTGGCAGTACATCTTGATCGTCTTGATGCCCACCTTGGGCTCCTCTGAGGGAAGAGCCGGGGTCACCGCTGTGCTCCGAATCTCCCCTGGGGGCACAGGCGGCCCCTGCCTCACCAGAGCCGCCCGGGCGGGCGCTGCTCACCGGGGAAGAACACGAACATCTGGTCGGTGGGATCATCGTTGTGAGCCACCAGCACGGTCAGGTCGGTGCGACGGGGGCGTCCCTCGCTGGGTTTGTCCCCGAACTGCGCCTTGAACTCCTCCAGCGTCTGATCCAGCTCGTCCTGGGTCACCAGGTACCCGCGGTCGTGGCAGAGCTGTGGGAGCAGCACCGGCCTCAGGAACCGAGAGCCGAGAACCGGCACCGCGAACCGGCCTCCGCGTCCCGCACCTGCACCCTGCGGCCCCGGAGCGCCGCCGGAACTCCCCACAGCCAGGCCGGGCCCTCCCGGCGCCGCCGTTCCCTCACCTGCATGATGGTCTTGCGGATCTTCCACAGCCGGTACGTCTCCTCCTCGTCGTCCATCTTGGCCGCCGAGGCCCCCGCGGGCTGCCCGCGCTGCCGCCTGCCCCCGCGCGCACGGGGGCCTCAGCCGCGGCGCCTCCTGGGAGATGTAGTCCGCCGCCAGACGTCCCACTCCGCTAGCTCCGGAGGGAACAGAAATCTCTCTGCTGCTCTCAGCGTGGCTCTCTGGGTGGCTGCGGCTCTGTTCGGGACCCGCGGCCGGGTCGGGAGGGAATCACCGCCCGGCAGCCGCGGCACCTGCTCCACACCCGCCCTTTGCTCCGTCCTTGCCCCCCGCCCTCGTGGTCTCTCCCGATCAACCCCCCTGCGGCCACCCCGCCCGCCCTGCCCTCCTATTGGTCAGCTTTCCATCCATCATCCCGCCGAGGCCGCCTCTGTGCGTGCTGATTGGTTGATATGCCCGAAAGGGGCGGGGTTTGTGAGGGATGGGCTGGGCCACCGCGGTGCGGGGCGCGCTGTGCTGCGCGCGGGCGGCGGCGGCGGCGGGAGCGGTGCTGGGACCAGGGCTGGGACCGGGACCGGGACCGGTGCGGAGCATGGTGAGTGCGGGGGCCCGGGGAGCGCGGCTGGGCCCGGGGGGCGCGGTTCTGCCTGGGGAGCGCGGCTGGGCCCGGGGAGCGCGGCTGGGACCGGGACCGGGACCGGGACCGGTGCGGAGCATGGTGAGTGTGGGGGCCGGGGAGCGCGGCTGGGCCCGGGGAGCGCGGCTGGGCCCGGGGGGCGCGGCTGGGCCCGGGGGGCGCGGCTCGGCTCCGGTACCGCGGCTCTGCCCCGGGTACCGCGGCTCTGCCCCCTCCGGTACCGCGGCTCTGCCCACTCCGTGACTGCGGCTCTGCCCCGGGTACCGCGGCTCTGCCCGCTCCGGTACCGCGGCTCGGCCCCGGGTACCGCGGCTCTGCCCCGGGTACCGCGGCTCGGCTCCGTGACCGCGGCTCCATTCCGGGACCGCGGCTCGGCCCGCTCCGGGACAGCGGCTCTGCCCGCTCCGGTACCGCGGCTCGGCCCCGGGTACCGCGGCTCTGCCCCGGGTACCGCGGCTCGGCTCCGTGACCGCGGCTCCATTCCGGTACCGCGGCTCTGCCCGCTCCGGGTACCGCGGCTCGGCTCCGGGGGTCCCCCGGTGCGGCGGAGGTGGCGGGGCCGGCGCGGAGCTCCGCAGTGACGCGCCCGCCCCGCAGTGTGCCCAGGCGGATGACTGGCGCTCGGCCAAGGCCATCTACGACTTTCACGCCCTCGATATCGACGGCAACGACGTCTCCTTGGAAAAGTATCGGTAGGACGGAGGGGACGGGGCCACGCCGGGCGAGGCTGAGCCACAGCGGCTCTTGCGTAACCCGCAGCCTCTGCTGGGAGGGTGAGGGACCTCTGGCCGTGCCCTGCGGGGAAGGGCAGCTCATCCCCCTCCTCTGCAGGGGAGACGTGTGTATCATCACCAACGTAGCCTCCAAGTGAGGGAAAACCGCCGTAAACTACACTCAGCTTGTCGATATGCACGCCCGATACGCTGAGAGGGGTTTACGCATCCTGGGCTTTCCTTGCAACCAGTTTGGGAAGCAGGTACGAGGGGCTCGGGTTCCCTGGGAGCGTTGGGGTGGTCTGGGGAGCCTCACGGTCCTGGTGCGGCCCCTCAGGAGCCCGGGGACAACGCTCAGATCAAGGCGTTTGCTGAGAACTACGGGGTGAAGTTCGACATGTACAGCAAGATCGATGTCAACGGGGATGATGCTCATCCCCTGTGGAAGTGGATGAAGGAGCAGCCCAAAGGGAGAGGCACTCTGGGCAAGTGAGTGTGGGAAGTACAGCCTTGGGACCTGCAGCCGGCAGGGAGGGCCTGGCTCAGGGCCTGGCTGGGCACAAGGAAGGGCTTTCCTGCCCAAAACTCACTCCTGCTTTTTTCTCTCCTAGTGCAATAAAATGGAACTTCACCAAGGTAGGACACTTGTAGTTTTGGTTGCCTCACACTGGGCTCTACTCTGTGCTGGTACTCCAGGTGTCAGGGCAGGAGCATCCAAAGGGGTTCCTGTGTCTAGAGAGCCTTGGGAACCCCTGCCCTGCCCAGAGCACAGCTGAGGGGGAAGTGAGTCTGTGGGGGCTGCAGCTGCCACGCCCCCATCAGCTCCCTGGCCTCACTCACCAGGGGTTGCTTCATTCCTACAGTTCCTCATTAACCGGGAAGGTCAAGTGGTGAAGAGGTACAGCCCCATGGAAGATCCCTACGTAAGTGCTGCTGCTGGGGAGGAGGGGAAGGCCGGGGATGTTCTGGGGGTACAACGCTCCCTCTGCCCCGCAGGTGATCGAGAAGGACCTGCCTGCCTACCTGTAGCTTCGCTCCGCTGTCCCCCTGCCCGTCCCGACCCTGCTGCCCACGGAGCCTCCTCCAGCCCCATGACGGGCTGCCTCCAATCCAGCTGCTGGTGGGGCAGCCCCGACCTGAGGCGTGCAGCTGCTGGACAGAAGCTCTGGGCCCACGGCCGCAGCGGGCAGGAGCAGCCGGAGCCCCCGGCAGTAACGAGACCCCTGGCAATAAAGGCGTTAGGAACGAGCTGCTGTGTTCCTCGTGTGGGATTGGGGCTGGGATGGGGCTGGGGCTGCTGCGCCGCTCCTGCTGACCTGGAGTCTGCTGGCCAGGAGTTGTCAGCTCCTGCTGGTGACCTGGAGTCTGCTGGCCAGGAGTTGTCAGCTCATCTTGGTGAGCTGGAGTCTGCTGGCCAGGAGTTGTCAGCTCCTGTTGGTGACCTGGAGTCTGCTGGCCAGGAGTTGTCAGCTCCTGTTGGTGACCTGGAGTCTGCTGGCAAGGAGTTGTCAGCTCCTGCTGGTGACCTGGAGTCTGCTGGCAAGCCAAGACCTTATGCAACTCCTGAGGCAAGCAGGGATAATCCTCAGTGTAGAGGAGGAAGTGTAAATCCGGCCTGATGCGTGCTCCCGAGGGGCTCCCTGGGCAAAGGCAGAGCTGGGGAAGGTTTGTCCCCCCTCAGATCCCTCCTGTCTCCAGGAATCCTCCTGGTAGGGCAGGGCAGCAGAGGGGATGGGTCCAGCAGTGCTACAAGCCCTGCCCAGGAGAAATTCCTGCAAAAAAAAAAATTCCAGGCGTGCTGGGACATGGCAAAATATCCCCTGCAGCCAGGGACGTGTCTGACCACAATAAGCAGGATCATCCTCCTCCTCCTCCTCCTCCTCGGGGCAGCGTCTTGGTGATTGTGAAGCCGTGGCCGTGCCCAGCCGAGCCCATGGAGGCTGGTGTCCCATCCTGGGTGGGACAGCTCAGGTTCTGCCGTGCAGGAATGCTGCTGCAGCTCTTCCCAGGGCCTGGCGAGTGCTGGGTTCTCCCTGTCACACCCACAGCCCCCTCAGGGAGTCTGTCCCCAGGAGAAATCCCAGGGTCTGGCAGCCCTGCAGAGCCTCCAGCCCAGCACTTCAGGGGTGCTGGGAGGATCCTGCTCACTGGGGATCACCCCAGCCCTCCTTCCATGAGGTAACAGGACCAGCAGTGCCTGGATGAGACGTCCCAGAGCTGTGGCAGTTCCTGCTGGGGGAACACACTGGAACAGAGGCTCCTTTATCTGTGTTTTTCCAGCCAAGGCCGGTGCCCAGGCTGGATCCAGCCAGGATCCTCCTCTGCATGAGCAGTGGCTTCTCCCAGGGAGAGGGGGAGGCTTGGGACAACAGCCCTCAATGTCACCCATTTGGTGACACGGGAGATACAAAGTCCAGCTGCCAGCAGGATGCTGGCCCAGGGATTCCTGCTCCAAGCTCCAGCTGGGCTCCTGGGGCAAGGTGGATAGAGCAAGAGACAGAGCTGAGAGTTACAGAAATCTCACATGTGGCTTCTGTTCCATTTTTACTGAGCAGAATGAAAAAATTATCTTTCTGAGGCAAGTAGAAAATTCAGGAATTATTAGTCCAAGGCACATATTCTAAAAAATCTCTTTACAATATGTACAACTTAATTATAAATATACATAGAAACAAGGGCAAACAACAAGCAGATTAAAAAGTGCCAACACAAAGGTGTCAGGGAAGAAAACAGGGACTCATTAAAAATACAATCAGTAGGACAACTGCAGAATAATTTAGTTAAAAGGTAACATTACATATTATTAACCCTGACAAAACACGGGACTGGGGCAAGAAAGGGATTCCTTGAAGGTGGTCTCTGTCTTTCCAGAGATCAGGGAGGGAAGATTGCATATATTTTAAAGTTAAGGTCAAAGCCACCAGGTAAGGCTCCGGTGACAGCAGAGGGTGCCCAGCAGGGAATTCCCCCTCGCTATTCCTGAGTTTAAACCTCTTTGAGCTGGGTTTTCCCGGCGTCCTTTTCCCTCTTTGCTGGGAATTCGGCCTCAAGCAAGCAGTGCTTTAAATAGGGGAAGGTGTGGAGAGGGGAAGCCTGGCTGTGCCTGGGCCCGGGGAAGGCTGCTGGGGTGGAGAGAAGCAGAGCTGGGGGAGAGCAGGAGCCCCCCGAGCAGCAGCAGGGCTTTGGGGGGCACGGGTGGCTCCCCCATCTTTGGTGATCACTTTGAGGTAAGGAGGTGAAACGTGGCCCCGACTGCAGGGATTGAGCCTGGCCTGGTGCCAGCTAGGGAGGGGGGTAAGGACAGGCCCCCAAAACAAAATTCAGGGACCAGAATAGCCTCAAACTGAGCCACTTGTGTGGTACCAGGGCGGGTCTGTGACCTCGGGGTGTCAGGGGTCAGCTCCTGCCACAGCCAGAGCACAACAACACTTGGACACGGACCCAGAGCAATTCCCAACACCCACCAGGGCACTGGGCCAGTCCCTGAGCCCTGGGGGGACACGGGGGTGGCAGTGTCCGGGTGACACCAGCAGGCACTGTGAAGCTCCAGCCCGCTCAAGACTGCCCTGTTAGGGCACAGAGTCCCCCCTTCCCCAGGGCAGGGCCAGGGACGGTCCCAGGTTCTTGCCTGAAACCATCCTGGTGCCAATTTTAGGAAACTTTGCTGCCCTCTGTCCTGGGGTGGAGGCAGCAGGGGGTGGGGCAGTGCTTTGCAAAGCAGCCTTTGTTCTTTGGTATGTGAGGGGGAGGTTGCAGCAGGAGCAGCCAAACTGCAAATCTGGGGCAGTGAGAGTGGCACTGCACACCCTGAAAAGTGACAGTGACACTGCACATGCTGGGCAATGACAATAACACTGCACATTTCAGGCAGTGACAATGA